GCCAGGCAGCATCAGAGGAGTAGGAAAGTTGACATTTTGGGTGGGGAAACGTCAGCTTTCCTACTCCTCTGATGCTGCCTGGCCTGCTGTGTTCCTCTAGCTCCACACTGTGTTATCTCAAAAAACAACCATCGATGTGTTCTAAGCCCATTTTATAGCACTTGACCCAAAACCTTATATGCTTTGGCATTGCTAGTAAACATCTAAATATTTTAAATGTTATAATTATTTCTGCGTTTACCACCTTTGCAGGCAGTGAGTTCCAAATGCCCACCATCCTCTGAGTGATAACATTTTTCTTCACATCCCCTCTAGATATCCCGCCCTTATATTAAATTTACGCTCCCCATTACTGATCCATCCACCAAAGGGAAAAGCTCCTTCCTGTCTACCCTGTCTATGCCCTTCATAATTGTATACATCTCAAATAATATCCCTCTGTTCCTCTGCTCCTATGAAAACAACCCCAGTCCATCCAATCTCTCTTCATAACTAAAACTCTGCAGCCCAGGTAACAATCTGGTAAATCTCCTCTACATCCTCTCCAGTGCAATTACATCCCTCCTATAGTGTGGATTCCAGAACTGCACACAATACTCTAACTGTGCCCTAACCAACTTTTTATGCAGTTCAGTTCCAGCACAACCTCCCTGCTCTTAAACTCCATGACAACTAATAAAGACAAGCATTCCATATGCCTTCTTAACTACTTTATCTGTCCTGCTAGCCTAACAGACTAATTTGAAAGTAAAAAGCTTCCCAACCCATCAAACTCTAGAGAGAATATGAAGAACAAACAGGACTGGGTGCCTGGAGGAGATACAGAGAGATGTATGAAGAGAGGGAAATTCATGTAATTTTAGGAGAAATTATGATGCATTTGAACAATTCAACATGGATTAAGTCAAATGTCAGCTTTTAGCATTTAAAAGTAACCAAAATGTAATATTTTTATGTAAAAATTCAACATCCAGGACCAATGGATGCATTTGGAAAAATGCATGGGATCTTTATTAACCATGCTAATAATTCCAATTTCTCTTTAACAAAGCAACCTATTTTGATATTCTACTGTAATATATCAAAATATAAAGGCATTTAAGATAGAAGACAGTGATACAATTGATAACACAAATCAAACTTAGTTCGGATAAAACTCTTAGCCTGGTTAGATTTCATAAAAGCCAGTGAAATGATAAAAGAGCCATTATTACATTTTTACATTAATCTTAAAAAGCAAACTATATCAGATGAGCAGCCAATTAAATCTCCATATTTAAAAAGAAAATGTGAGGACTAGTTCAGAAAAGTGTAGGCCAATTAGTTTAATGGAGGTGAGAGGAAAGAGGATGAAAACATTCCTCAAAGATGTGTCAAAAAAAATTGGGAACTGAAAATAAAAGAGTACTCAGCACTGATTCAAAAAATGAAGATCATATTTGATCTACCTTATTGAATTCTTGCAAGTAACAGAATAGGTAATGAGTATGAGACATACACTTGGATTTTCAAAGAGCTTTCAATAGAGAATTCTGTAGTAGACTCATGTTTAAGATCAGAGGTCTGGGGCTGGATTTTACACACTCCAAATACTTACCTCTGAAGGTTTGAAGGTGGGGGTAGGGCACATAAAATCCTGTGGGTGGCCCACTGGCCACTTACTCTGTTTGATATTTTAGCTTGGAAAGCCTTCCCTTGGGCCTATTGACGACTTTATTTGGTATTGGCCATTTAAGGGTTTCTTCCTACTTTCACTATTGTACCAAAATAGAGATTGCTGTTCCCCAGTTCCGAGGAAGGGTCACTCCACCTGAAACGTTAACTCTGATTTCTCTCCACAGGTGCTGCCAAACCTGCTGAGCTTTTCCAGCAATCTCTATTTTTGTTTCTGATTTACAGCATCCACAGTTCTTTCATTTATTTTATTCATTATTGTAGCCATGGTGGGGAAGGCCCATGCCACCAGGGTAGCCTTACACTTAGCTGCTTTGCTTTTTGAAAGGTTATTGTGCAAGTAGGGTCCTCTTCTGGACCCTTTGCCACAAGGCCTTTCGAACCCAGGCTCCCAACCACTTGATGAGATTCCCAATGGACCCAAGCTCCTGAGCACTGGGCTACTGCTACCCCAAGGTGACGCGAGGACTACAGAGCTACCATCTATCTGATTGGCCAGCATCTAAGATGGGGATTTTCTGAATCTTTAAGCTGGGTGGAATAGCGCAAAAACTGAGAGCCCCATTAAATTCTGCTCTTGTGGTCAGGGTTCATGTAGACCATGGAAAGCAAGCTGAATACCAAACAGAAAGTAGGGGTTTACAGGTAATTATATGGTAAATCGAGAGAAGTAGTGTTTCACAACGATAGGTGCTGGAATATTGTTGTTGATGATTTATATAAACAATTTCAAAAATTGCAGAGAACACCAAATTGGGGCCTATAGTTGATATAGAGGGACTGAAACAAAATAAACATTAATAAACTTGCATAACAGTAAGATAATTTGGTGAATGGATTTCAATATAAGAAAGTAAGAAATAGGTCCTGAAGGAGACCTTTCAGCCCATTCAACATGATCGCTGATCATATATCTTAACCCCACTTTCCTGTCCACTCCCAACATTCCTTGTTTCCCTAAGATTTAAAAGCTATCAATCTTAGTCCTGAACATATTCAGCAACTGAGCATCCACAACTCTCTGAGGTAGATAATTCCAAAGATGTACAACCCTCTGAGTGAAGAAGTTTCTTAGCATCTCTGTCCTAAATAGGCTACCCTTTATTCTGCATTTGTGGCCTGGTTCCAGACTCAGCAGGTAGTGGACGCATCCTATCTATATCTACCCTATCACACTTTGTAAGAAATGTTAATGTTTCGATTAATCACCTCTCATTCTTTGAAATTCTGGAGAATAATAACCTATTCTCCTCAATCTTTCCTCATAAAACAATCCTGACCTCTCAGAATTTGTCTGGTGAACATGCATTACACTCCGTCTATGGAAAATATATCCTTCCTTAGATTAGAGGACCAAAACTCTACAGAATTCACCAAGACATTGCACCAAGACCTGATACATTACAGCAAGATCTCTTTCTGAAGTGTAGTAACCCTCAGGTTAAATTCAACAGCTGTCTTCTCACTCTCAAAGGAGACAGCAGTCTATGGTCCTCTGGGACTATGGCAACTTTTACTTTACTCCTGCACCTGAATCACACTGTGATTAACATCAACACACCATTTACTCTCCTTATTGACTGTTGCATCTATGTGCTTGCTTTTATTGGCTCATGAACAAGAACACCCAAGACCTTTTGGACAACAACACTTATCTACATCCAATAATTTAGCAAAAGCTCCGTATTTCTATTTTACCCATCAAAATGCTAATTTTGCATTTCTTTACATCATTTTCCATCTTCCAAATTCTTGCTTATTCACATAGCCCATTTTTCCCCTTGCATCTTACTCATAATTCACAATCATACCTAGTTATGTGCCATTAGCAAATTTGGAAATATTACAAATCCCCACATTTATTTAGCTGGTGACAAATGACAGCCTAGCTCTGAGACTTATGGTAACCCCACTGATAACAGCCTGCCTTCTTAAGAACGATGCACATATCCCTACTCTCTGTTTTCTCAACACATTGAAGTATACTACCTGAAATTGCACATGATCTAATTACAAAGTTCCTGTGTAGGACCTTATCAAAAGTCTTCTGATAATTTAAATATACTACACTCTGGATCTTTTTTTATGTTACAAGTGACATCTGCAAAAACAAAAAGTTTGGTAAACATGATTTGCCTTTTGTAGCATAGGCATAAGTGGCTGTTTTCAGGTTGGCAGGACATAAAGAGTGGTGTGCCCAGAGATCGGTGGTGGGATCTCAATATGTTTACAACTTTTATAAAGGAATTAGATGAAGATGTGGAAAGTATGGTTGCCAAATTTGCTGATGACACAAAGATAAGTAGGAAAGCAAATTGTGAAGAGGACACAAGGAGATTACGAAAAGGTAGAGGTACTTTAGAAGAGTAAGCAAAGGTTTGGCAATGGAGTATAATGTAGAAAGTGTGAAATTGTCCATATTGGTACTAAGAATTTTAAAAAGCATATATGTAAATGGTGAGAGATTTCAGAACTTTAAGATGCAGAGACATCTGGGCGTCCTCATGCAAAAAGAAACACAAAAGGTAAGTCTGCATTTACAGCAAGCAATAGGAAAGCTAATAGAATGTTGTCATTTTTTGAAAGGGGAATTGAATACAAAAATAGGGACAAAAACAGAAATTGTTAGAAAAGCTCAGCAGATCTGACAGCATCTGTGGACAGAAATCAGAGTTAACAATTTGGGTCGATTGACCCTTCCTGTCATGCACTGATGAAACCTCATCTGGAGTACTGCACTATTGGTCATCTTATATAAGGAAGGATGTAAATATATAGGATGCAGTTCAGAGAAGGTTTATTCAACTAATACCTGGCATAGGTATATTATTTCACGAGGAAAGGTTGAACAGGTTTGATTCCAACGAAGTTTAGAAGAATAAGAGATGGTTTGATTGTAATGAATTCTGACAGGTTTTAACAGATTAGATATGAAGCCATGTTTTATGGGAGATCGAGGGATTACTGTTCAAAACTCACGGATTGCCAATTTAAAAAGAGTTGGCGATTGTTTTTCTCTGAAAGTATTGTTAGTTTTTGGAACTTTCATCCTGAAAAGATAGCAGAAAGGAGGTCCTTGACTATTTTTAAGGTAGAGGTAGATAGACTATGTTACCATGGTTTGAAAGGTTATCAGGTTAGGCTGGAATATGGATTTGGTTACAACCAGGAGGTTGGGTGCCTGAATGGCCTACTCCTGATTCAGATGTTTGTAAATCAACGTTGATTCGGCACAATTTTACCATCCTTTTCTAAGTGTCCAGTTATCACATCCTTTATAATAGATTATAATAATATTTTCCCTACAACTGTTATGTCACGCAGTGTAGGAGAGCCCCATTGCAGGGCATCGCTGTACTACTTATTTGAAATAGCTCCTCAATCAGCCCCACAATTCTAAATTTTCTCCCTTCCAGCCAGTATTTATCCAATTTCCTCCTGCAAATAACTGAATCTATTGTCACCGACATTTTACACATTGCATTCCCGATTCATGCGTCCATGCGTTCTGATTTACACTTCCGACGCTTTCCTTAATTATCTTGAACCTGACCGATGGATACCCGAATGTTTCACCTACCGGATGTAGTTACCTATCTTCGCTTTCAAAAAAATCACTTAAAAATAACCAACCTGGACCAGACTAGGCAATGTACAAATCTCGCTTCTACAAAGTTTCCTTGTTTTTGATGACAATCCCGTATTTGTACGGTAGAAAACAAACTGGAAGGAAATTAGAAGTGAATTAATCGACTAACTATTTCCGGACAGAGCTGGAAATTGAATCATTCAAGGGGCGGGAGCATAGCCATGCGGTGACGTCACTATGGGTATTACACCCAGGTCCGCTTCAGCTCAAGATCTCTTCAGGAAGAAAGAACTTGTGTCTCAGTCTGCGGCTGTTGTTGTCGTTGGCTGGTTGATTAGAGAGTGTTTCTTTTTGCAGCATGTCGGGACGTGGTAAAGGCGGCAAGGGGCTGGGGAAAGGAGGCGCGAAGCGTCACCGCAAAGTGCTCCGAGATAACATCCAGGGGATCACCAAGCCTGCCATCCGCAGGCTGGCTCGCCGAGGCGGAGTGAAGAGAATTTCTGGCCTCATCTACGAGGAGACCCGAGGCGTCCTGAAAGTCTTCCTGGAGAACGTGATCCGAGACGCGGTCACTTACACCGAACACGCTAAAAGGAAGACGGTGACCGCCATGGATGTGGTGTACGCCTTGAAGAGACAAGGCCGCACTCTGTACGGCTTCGGTGGTTAAAAGGCCGTTCTAGCCCTCATTCAAGACGGACTTTGAGATAGTGTTTTTGTTTTTTGTTTAAACTTCAGCGGTAGAAGTGTTGGCTTCGGTAGTTCGCTTTGCTTGTGCTTCGGCGATTTTTGGGGTCCGTCTTGTTGGGGGTGTTGAAGAGATGTTAAGAGATCGTGGAGCTGTTGCTTCTGATTGGCTGGCTCGTAGTTTGAAAGTGGTCCAATAGGAATAGGCGGCATCTGCTATTCTTCATTTGCATATCGGCGTTGATAAATATAGTCGGTCCACACAACGTCTGTCACCTCCAGCTGCGCGTCCTCATTGTTTGTCTGACTTAGCCAAACCTCCTCCGCCCCAGCGTCTGGACTCGTCTCTTCTACAATCATGATTTGATTCCTGTCTGCTACAATGACTTCTTTGTTTGGTGACGAGTGCGGTGTTTTTCATCTTAACAATCTTTTTATGCATGCAGTGTAACTTTTTTTTGTTTCTTTTAATTCAATGACTATTCGTTTGACTTGAATCTTGTGCTCTTTTATTGCAATAAAAGATGAGCTCATTTTTTCCAAGTCTTTCTGCCTCAAGTTCTTCTCCTAGTCAGGTTGGTTATGACCTGATCCCGATGCGTTTCGAATCAAGTTAAGAATGAATCTCCCTCCTGAGCGTCACGGTAACTGCTTTGTTTCAATAGATGTTGTTAGACCTGAGTTTTTCCAGCCACTTGTTTTATTTTGTATCGATTGAAAGCGTACAGATTTTTATTTCAAGGATAATTTTTTGTTTGCCTTGTTGCTTTCTTCATCTTCTATCGAAGAAAATCTTTTATCCAGTGGCCTTGCTGTGTATTCATCTTGAAGTTGAACCAGTTACAACAATTCCAACCAATTACAGCAATTTAGAATATAGTCTTAAAGTATAAGAGGCCATTTAGTTCTAAACTAGATTTTGCAGTTATTTCTCTAACTGTCGATTCCCAACTGCACCTAGTCTTATTCTGGGTTGTAACTTCACACTAAACTAGCTAACGTCAAGGGATGATTGAGTAGAGATCTACTTTAAAAGCAACTTTGTTTGAATTCATTAAAAACTGCAACTGTTCAAACAGCAGTTGATAGTCCAATTAACTTATTGAACTATTACTGTAGTAGGCTTCCATTTTGTCATAATCAACTACCTTAAGTGTAATATTGTTTAAAGCAGGAGTACTTAGCAGTTTTGAGGAAGGGTCACTGGACCTGAAATGTTAACTGATTTTTCTTCAGATGCTGCCAGACCTGCTGAGCTTTTCCAACTTCTATGTTTTTTTTTCCCCCATGATTTACAGCATCTGCAGTTCTTCTGTGTTTTAAAGAGTATTTAGCTGTTTGTTGAATGTGAGAAGGAATGATGTGATGTTTCAACACTTACTGCAACTAATATATCAAGATAAGGAAACCTGTTGATCTGCCTACTGCCATCATCCAGCTTCTGAAAATGTATTCTATTGAACACTTTTTTTTCCCTTTTAATGTTGCCAGAGGTTGTGACTACAATATGTAGATAATGGGATCTATTGACATAAAAGATCTAATTTGCTGTACCTCCTAGGCTATTAGGCAGTTCTTTGCCTTGTTAGCATTCCAAAATGCACCAACACCTCGGATTAAATTCCATTTGCTGCCTCAGCCCACCTGACTGAATGCTTTTTCTGTAGCCTGACTTTCCTCCCTGCTATTTACCATCAAACTATAATGTCCTCTTTATTTGCTCACAGGATATGTGTTGCTATCTAATTCTCCAAAAAGAGAGTCATCCATATTCCAGAGGGTCTACAGTCAAATGTAGGCTGGATGAAGTAAACTTACTTCACTAAAAGGCATAGTAAATGATATGGGTTTTTGTCAATCAACAGCTGTTTCGTGGTCATTGTTAAACTCTCTAATTCCAGGTTGCTTATTGAATTCAAATTCCACTAGGCCATCACCTCCCCAAGTACCTCCTACATTAGAGTCTGGACAATGTAAACAGCAGGGGATCTAGATTGGAACCCTGTAGTACACCATAGTCTTTGACTTGGAGTCAATCAGCCTCTGCTTGCTGCCACCAAGCTAAGCTTTTTTTGGCTGTAATTTCATCTGGATTTTATTGGCTCTTGACCCTGTAACCAGTTTGCCTTGGAAGACCTTGTCGAAGTCCATGCAGATCAAATCAAGTGAATTACCATTATCCACACATCTGATCAACTTGCAAAATCCAATTAATTTTGGATGTGATCTTTCTTCTCTTCCTTTCTCTCTCTACCCCCCCACCCCCAATGAGGCTGTGTTGATTTTACCTTTGATTAATTCTTTCTCCTCCAAGTGTGAGGATTGTTCCCACTATTCCTGAATCATGGTACCTAATTAACTGCCCTCCAGCCCTTTGGCACTCCTGTGACCAGAGAGGACTTGGGACAGCACAGTGGTGCAGCTGTTAGCACTGCTGCCTCAGTGCCAGGGACCCAGGTTTAAGTCTGCCCTCTGGTGACTCACTGTGGAGTTTGCACGTTCTCCCTGTACCTGCGTGGGTTTCCTCCCACAGTCCAAAGTTGTGCAAGTGAGGTGGATTGGCCTTTTAAATTGGTCATAGCATCCAGGGATGTATAGGCTAGGTAGATTAAACATGGGAATGCAGAGTTCGAGATGGGGTGGGTTGCTCTTCAGAGGCTGTGTGCATTTGATGGGCCAAATGGCCTGCTTCCACACTGTGTAGGGAATTCTATGAAAACTTATGTCTGAGTCCTTGCAGTCTCTTGTGTATCAGCAGTTTTGGATACCTCCTGGGCCACTGGGTATTCTTTCAAGCCTGCTTAAAACTGCTCCATGCTAATTTGTTAAAGTGCTGTATCTCATCTTCTCCTGTCTCTAATTTTGAGACCTATGTTGGCCTTCTGTATGGAGAAAACTGTAAATATGCCACTTCAAACTTTAAAACTTCCTAGTGGTTGAGCAAACTCACCATAGTAATATTAAACAAAGAACTGTGGATGCTGGAGATCTGAAACACTGACAGAATTTCTGGAGAAACCAAACAGGTCTGGCAGCATCTGCAACAAGCAAAGAGTTAACATTGGTCCATTCTGAAAGGTCAGAGGATGTTCATCGTGCTGGGTGCTATTATAAAGGATAGACAGAATAGAAAAGGTGTAGTGCAGCTAGTAAGTTATGATAGAATGACTGACTGTGGTTAGAAAAGAATGTCTGGTAGTTTCTAGGTAGTTGGGCAATTAAAGTTTGTTACAAAAACAATCTATTGTCATGAATAGACTGGACCAATTAAAATGGCAAGTGATTTGGAAGACTAAATTACACAATGCATTTTGTGACCACTTCCTATAACAAGTGTGAAAATGATAAGCGACAAAACTATTTTAGGCTGGGTGTTGTGTAATAATGCAGAATTAGATAGTAATCTCAAAGATCTGCTGGGCAAAATGATAATACATTTATCTATAGTCAATTTGAAAATAATACCCTCATCTCAAACAAGAATCAGTCACCTATATAGGTCTGAGGGAAGAACCAGTAAATTGGAATGGGTATTCAAGGGAATATTTGAATATTTGGTTTTTTTTAAAAAATATTTAACAAAAGTATGTTCCACTGAAAAACAAGAAACATGGCAAAGAATAGCAGCAAGCCTAAGGAGCGGAGAGTTGTTTAAAAATCAAAGTTGATGTAAAAGGAACAGTAAATATAGTATACCTTGACTTCCAGAAGCCATTCAAGAAGATAGTGCACAGCATTGACTCCAGATACCATAAAATTTCAGTGATACCAGGTCAAACATAGACAAGATTACCACACATTGTCCTCTGTCCTCTGTGTGGAATAGTCTTGGAGGAAGCACTGAGGGTGACAAGAATACAGAATGTACTCAGGGTGAAGGATTTCAACATCCAACACCAAGGGCAGTTTGGCAGCAGTGAAACTAGTCAAGTCCTAAAGGATATCATTGGTAGACTAGGACTGTAGCAGGTGGTGAGGGAACCAACAAGAGGAAAAACATACTTGACCTTATTCTCACCAATCTGTCTGCTACAGAAGCAACTGTCCATAACAGTATTTGATAAAAGTGACTACCACTGGGAGATATAGTCCAGTCTTAACATTGGGAATACCTTAGATAGTGATGTGTGTTATTATCACTGTGCTAAAGTGGGGCAGACTTTGAACAGATCTAGCAACTCAAGACTGGGCATCAATGAGGTAGTGTGAGCTTTCAGCAGCAGAATCCTAATCTAATACAATCTGCAACCTCATGGCCTGGCATATCCCCCACTCAATCATTACCATCAAGTCAGGGGCATCAATGAAAAGTGCAGGAGTATATGTTAGGAGCAGCACCAGGCATACCTAAAAATGAAATGTTAGCCTCTTGAAGCTACAAGGCAGGACTACTTGTGGCCAAACAGCATATTCCGTAAGTGATAGAGCTAAACATAAGAAATAGGATAAAGAAAAGTCCATCTGGTCTCTCGAGCCTGCTCCACCATTCAAGAAGATCATGACTGACCCTTCCATGGACTCAGCTTCACTTACCCACCAACTCACCGTTACCCTTAATTCCTTTACTGTTCAAAAATCTAGCTCTGCCTTAAAACCATTCAAAGAGATAGCCTCAACTGCTTTACTAGGCAGGGAATTCCACAGTTTCACAACCCTTTTTCGATGTAGAAGTTCCACCTCAACTCTGTCCTAAATCTGCTCCCTGTTATTTTGAGGCTGTGCCCCCTTTTTCTAGTTTCATCCGCCAGTGGAAACAACCTCCTTGCTTCTATCATCTATTCCCTTCATTATTTTCAATGCTTATGAGATGGTCCAATGAGATCCCTTCATTCTTCTAAATTCCAATGAGTATAGGTTAGATGGGCTTCAGATTGGTTTCACAGGTCAGCGCAACATCGAGGGCTGAATGGCCTGTACTGCGCTGTTATGTTCTATGTTCCAGCAATGAAGGACAATATTTCACTTGCCTTCTTAATTACCTGTTACACCTGCAGACCAAGTTGTTGTGATTTATGCACAAGGACATGCAGGTGCCTCTGCACAGCAGCATACTGCAATTTTTCAGCATTTGAATAATGATCCATTTTGCTGTTATTCCTACCAAAATGAGTAACATCACATTTACCAACATTGTACTCCATCTTCCAGTCCCTTGCCTACTCGCTTAACCCATCTATATCCCTTTGTGTCCTCTGCAGTTTGCTCTCTATCATCGGTCTCATCTGCAAACTTTGACACACTAAACTTAGTCCCCCAACTCCAAATCACCTATATAAATTGTAAACAACTGCTGTCCCAACACTGATCCCGGAGGCATACCACTAACCACTGATCACCAAAAACACTCATTTATCCTTACTCTTTGTGTTAACAAATCCTCTATCTATGCCAATACATTACCCGTCACATCGTGCACCCTTATCTTATGCACCAGTCTTTTGTGTGACAACTTGTCGAATGCCTTCTGGAAATCCAAATACACCACATCCACCTGTTCCATTGTCCACTGTGCTTGTAATATTCTCAAAAACTTCCAGTAAATAAGTTAAACATAACCTACCTTTCACGAACCCACACTGCATCTGCCCAATGGCAAAATTTCTATTGGATGTCTTCTGTAATGAAAGAACGAAGCATTTTTGATTCAAAAACCAACAGATCGGATCTAAGTTCTGTAGTCCTGCCCATTTGTGAATGATGGGTGGACAATTAAACAATTCACAGCAATCTTCAGACAGAAATGTTGAGTAGTTGCTCCATCTCCTCCAGAGATCCTCAGCAGTGCAGGTACCAGTCTTTAGTCAATTTAATTCACTCCACGTGATAACAAGAAATGGTTGGAGGCACTAGGTAGAATCAGAGTCATAGAATTCCTGCAGTGTAGAAGCAGGCCATTCAGCCCATCAAGTCCACAGTGACCCTTCAAAGAGCAACCCATCCGGACACAACCCCCTACCCTACATTTCCCATGGCCCATTCACCTAACCTACTTATCTTTGGACTGTGGGAGGATACTGGAGTACCTGGAGGAAACCCATGCAGACACAGGGAGAACGTGCAAATTCCACACTGAGTTGTCCGAGGGTGGAATCGATCCTGGTTCCCTGGCACTGCAAGGCAGCAGTACTAACCACTGAGCCACCATGCTGCCAGATACTGGGTCCTGACAACTTTCTGGTAACAATGCTGATGACTTGTACTCCAGAACTTGCATCATTCCTAGCCAAGCTGTTACTGTACAGCTACATGTCAGGGATTGACTCTATGAAGAGCAAAATTGCTCAGGTTTGTCCTGTACACAAAAAGCAGGACAAATCCAATCTAGCCAATGACTGCCCCGTCAGTCTACTCTCGATCGTCAGTAAAGTGATAGAAGAGGACATCGATAGAGCTATCCAGCAGCTCCTACGCAGTAACACCCTGCTCCGTGAAACCATTTGGATTCTGCCAGGGCTACTCAGCTCTTGACCTCATTACAGCCCTGGTTCAAACATTCCACTTCTTTCTACACAGATGATGCCTGACCTGCCAAGTGTTTCTTGCATTTTCAGTGCAATTAGATGCATTAAGCTAGGCTTGCTAACTCACCTCACCCAGACGGAAGGGAATGTGTGTACACTGGTGGGGGGTGGCATTCTCAGCAGTGCCTCTACATTTTCTACGGGTGGCCCCTTGAAGCATAATCTGACCAGAAGAAGGTCTACAGAAGAAATTCAGTGAGGCAGAACAGGAAAGCCACCACAACAAACTGAAACAAAACCTACATAAAGCAAACTGAATGTCTTTTTGCTCAAGAGTAGTGCAGTCAGGTAAGGGCTGTCAGAGAAAATGCCCACCCTTCTACCACAGCACCAGACTTGTACTACTCCATGAGAGATCAGACACAGCTCACCTTTCAACATGCAAACTTGATGCAGAAAACAATGGTAGGGCTTGCCCTGTTGGAGATGGGTAGGAATGTCACTTTATACTCGATGGATAATTTTGATATATGCAAATGAATGGTGACATTATCTTATCTTTATCTATGATTAGGCTTGCTTTGGGCTGGAGGGTGAAGGGAGGGTTAACTTGTACAAACCTGGGAGGCATTTGATAGTACCTAGTTGAACTGCCGTTTATAAAACAAAGACTCGCATGTTCAAAAATGTAAATTTCTTTATTTCTTCTTGATCTAGGATGATGGCAGTAATTCTCATATGATACAGATGATTAAAATTTGATTTCAGCAATGTCAAGATTTGTAACTATATACAGTATTCAATACTACCCCAAGTAAAACATTGACAATCAGCTATTCCCAAATATTCTGTTTGCCAAAACTGATGGATTACGTTGGCACAGGATCTATAGTATATGCAAAGAAACAGTCAGTCCTGTGATTATTATATCTTCAGAAGGCAAAAGATACCAGAACAGAAGACTGAAGTTACATGATGCTGTACACTTTTCTTAAAGTTAACCACCAAACTACAATGGTTAATTTTGTGATATTTTAAAAGGTTGTGGAATTAAAAAGTGACAAACATTGCAAAGTTAAGTTTGTACATCTGAAATGCTTTATTTTATGAAAAACTTGTTTGTTTGCTTTCTTCATTAGGTAGCCATGATGTAGAGGTGCCGTTATTGGACTGGGGTAGACAAAGCTTTTGGAACATAGCACCTAATGAAGGGGCATGATCTGAGAGCTTGTGATTTCAAATAAACCTGGTGTCGTGAGAGTTCTGACTTTCTTCATTAGAGCATGGGAACCTCATGGTGGAACAGCTCCACAGCAGCGAAGCACCCACTGATACTTTGATCAAATGGTTATTATTCATAGTATGACTTGAGAAAATAAGTGACAGCAAGCCACATGACCACGATAGTCATCACAGTTGAGCTCGGTCTTATGTTTAAATATTGTTCACAGACCTGGAACTCCACAATCACTACATGCAGATTTGGCTTGTTTTGCTCTACTTGGCTTCCAACTAACTTAGCACTGATTCAAACAGGTCAGTTAATCAGCAAACCTACTGAGTTATTAATCAAAGCTGTTCATCTAGTTCTACATGACTTAGGAAACTCACTCATCTGGTCAGTTCCCATAGAACTAGTTTCCAGCAGCATCTTCTCTTAGGAAATGTTTATCTCCGTCAAGAAGCTGAGGATTCAAATTCAGTTACTGAAAAGTACCATGTTGTAACTGCAGAAACAACCAAGGTAATTAGTGAAATATCATTGATTAAAAATTCATTTCTGATTCAACAGAGATTGTAAAGTTCACAAAAAGTTTCACACAGGTAAGAAAAAAGCTGAAGAGGATCAAGTTGGTTTTATTTTAAAAAACACAGTCTCTATGGATAACAAAAATATGTTTATAGCAGGCATGCAAGAAGGATAAAGCCAGTAAACATGTAACTGTTGACACTAAACAATTTTGACAGGGAAGAATAGCCATATCATTCAATTTGAACAGAATGAAGTCAAAAACTGAATTTCTTTGGGTAATCTCATATTAAGCTTGTGCAAACACATTTATTGTAAATACTGTAGTAAGTCAGCCATTAATACTCTGAAATTACAGTAGTTTGTAAACCAGAAATTCCCAACATTACCCTTTTGGAATGCAAAATACTGGGTGGGTTAGATTATACTGTGCACAGTTTTAAGTGACAGATAATTAATTGCAAAAATGAAGATTAAATTCTCCCAGTTTATTTACAGCTGTGTTTCATAAACAGCAATAGGTGGCATACCGTAACACAAATTTATTTTTACACTCATTTACTGAAAATGACATTACTGAAGTAGGCACAAAGTAAAAGTTGCAACAGAAATTTCACAGGGGAACAGAACTTCAGGGACAGCATGACCTGAATACGCCTTTTACAAGTGCATATTTATGCTAAAAGCCTGGTGGAAACAGTATTAGTACTTTAGTATTGTATTAAAAGATGTTGTTTCAAATTAAGGTGCTTAAACATAAACATCCAAGGTAAAGATTGTTATTTCTACACATTGATTATTAAATCTAAGGGGAATATGTTAGCCATTAAGGAAACTTCATATCAAACGATTTGAAAAAAAAACAAATACCTGTATTAACAATTATAAGTTAAGAATATTCAAATGCACCAAACATTTTGCCTTCAACATAAGTTTGCCTTTTAGGAGTTTAGTTCTCAAAGAAAGTTCAAATTCTTAGATAATTCCCAGTTTGCTGTGCACCAAACAACAGAATGTTATGGAACAACCTACAAATCTGTATCAGTTGAGTCAAACTCCAGATGTTCTGCTACAAACAGAACTTCTGGTGGGTTAATCATCCAAAGAGAAATGTCCATCATCTTTTGTGTTCTCAGTCTCTTAAGCTTTTGAAGGCAACGTCTTGAGTTGTTTGTTTATCAGCTTTCTAATGCATCAAGGACTTTCATGATCTGCTGTTTTATGGCTTTAGTTGCATCTCCTGCATTTGGTATCAAATACCTGAAGAAAAATATTGAAAACAAAACTCGTAAATATCTGACAACTCGGCATTAATAAGCATAATTTAAAAGGAGTGCCACGTTTGAAAACCTGACTGATGTTCAAATTTTGTTTCCCTTACTCTCATGGTATACAGTGACGCTTGTATAGTAAATAATTGAACCATAGAATTCTCCCAGTGTAGAAGGAGGCCATCATAGTCTTTGTGTCCCTTTGGAAATCCAGATAAACGGTACTTCTGATTGGTCAATTTAAGAAATGAGTCATGGACACAGTAACTGAACATATGTTATCAATGCTCAAATTCACATGGCATATTATTTTACTAGTGACTGTGCAAAGATAGGATGAAAACTAGATTGTGCAAGTGTTTTTAGTGGCTGTGAATGTTTTGTTTTTGATTGTGGAATGCTGGTGGAGGTTTGTTATATAAATATACATGAAGCATATTTAGCTATTGTGAATGTGATCAAGGTGTTTTTGATTACAATTAAAGGATGCAGTTAAAGCCATGTTGTCATGTCCAAACCTGTGGCTAAGTCACCAATTTCTATTGGACAACAGAGTCTTAGAAAGTCACAAACTAGTGTTACCAGATCTGGAACTGCCAGCCCCACCCAGTGCTCCTGGAGCCGTGCCCTTATACCAAAGCTTTAAAAAGGATTTAAAAACATTTTATACTTTTCAGAGAAAAATGAAGTGAGTTGTCAAACTTATTCTACTGGTAAAAATTTCAGAACATGAATTAAATGGTACATAAGAACTTAAGAAATAGGAGCAGGAGTAGGCCCTCTGGTCCATCCAGCCTGCTCCACCATTCAGTAAGATCACGGCTGATCTTCTCATGGACTCAGCTCCACTTACCCGCCTGCTCACCATAACCTTTAATTCCTTTACTGTTGAAAAATCTACTTTTGCCTTAAAAACATTCAAAAAAGGTAGACTCAACTGCTTCACTGGGCAGAGAATTCCACAGATTCACAACCCTTTGGATGAAGAAGTTCCTCTTCAACTCAGTCCTAAATCTGCTCCCTCTTATTTGAGTCTATGGCCCCTAGTTCTAGTTCCTAAGAAATTAATTAACTAATTCAGTCACTGCATCAGTGGCCTTCATGTGACGTAGTGCCTGGTGTGTAACAGTGCTCCCCACCCCATCAAAATTCAAAACAACCCATTCTCTAGCTCAATGTGAACAACACCATAGTATGCCCATTGAGACACTGTTACAAAATTAAGGTAAAAATACCATTAGCTTAAGGACTGTGCACCTTAGTTTGATTAGGAATATACAAAAATAAATCAAGTAATGTTACTTTGCCCACAGTTTCTGTTACGTGCTGTGTGTTGACTTTTTTATTCTACTTTTCAATATGCTACCTACTGGAGAGTTCACAAGGTAGGAAACCTTTCAAACGTGGCCCAGGAAGTGAGTTTCTTAAGATTTGTGTAAATAAAAAGCATACCCAACACTTCAGGAAAACTAACTCTACCACTTTAAATGAACATTTCGAGCACAAGAGTTGGAAACATGTTTACTTGGCATCAGCAAATTTATAATCTTACCTTTCCACAGCCAAGATCTCTACTGGTGAGGCATTACTGTTTCCAAATTTAAACGTAATTAGCTCTGGGTGCTTTTTCTTGGACGTAATTTTCACCATTGAGGTCAGGGCCTGCCGTGATTGAATGTAAGCAAATCCTTTTCGAGATGGCATTTCTCGCAAACAGTACATGTGAGTTGCTGTTACCAGAAGGTGACTAAAAAGAAGTAAAAAAAATTATCTGTTATGTTCTGAGCATCCAATCTGTTTTATCCTGGAAATAATGATTTACAACCTACTCCAGTAATTTGAAGGGTTAATAAAAGCTTATGCATTTAGGCAATTTATTCTGAGATGGGTTAGAATACAATGAGTTAAAATGATTGCAAGAGCATTTTACAGTAGTGGCATAGACTATTCAGTCTAACGGGTCTACATTTGACAGAGGCTCTTCAAAATGAATCCATCAATTCACCATACAAGATCACTCTGATGTTATCAATGCTAACCAGCAACAATACTACATATCTGTATTGATGACATGCGCCAGCCCTCCCAAGACTAGTGCAACTGAGAATTGGGCATGAATGAGCGATGATTTGACATTTCTTGACCTATGTCAAATATATCAAAACTCTTCTTTAACATAAACTCAGACATCACAGTGAATAACTTTGTAATCATGAGTTTAAAGAGACTCATCATGATACAGTCGTTAAAGTGTAGTGCAAAAGGCATCAAATCCTTTATGAATGTAGACATTAAAAGGTCTTAAATAAGATGTATGCATTTTGATGTAGATATGTGTCATTTTCAAAGTGCCTAAAATGCAACTGAACTTGTAGATTTGCCATTACATACCTTGGAAACATATGTCCTGTTTCTTTCACCTCATCACATGGAAAGTGGTATTTAACATCAGGCTTGTTCACCCATGTCTGAATATTCACCATCTCCTTCCGATCATCATCGGACATAGAAGAACTGTCAATTTCATCTGTTAAAACAAAATGGACAGAAAGGTCTAACGATGAATGTACTCTTTAAAATGCAAAGAACCATGAAGAATATTTCTAATTAGCAATCTGTACATAATTCTGGTTGTGTCTGAAAGTAAAGCTACATGTGTAAATGTCACGCAGTACCAATAGAATCTGTTATATAAACAACGAAAACTTGAATTTGGTATCTATCGCTAAGGATCAAATTTTATTCTATTTTTTCTTATATAGAATGTAGAATACAACAGGAGCCCAGTCATTAAGCCAGTGCCAGTTTTGAGAAGTTCATCTAAGATGGGCTTGAAACGCTGCTCTCTTCTCCTTACCGCATTCCCAATTCAGTTGCACCTTCAACAGAAAGCGGTAATGACATTGGAATCTGCATCCTCTCAGCCCAAGCAAGAACCCATTCAATGAATGAATAGAAAAAGGGTTTCAGAGTCCTATCTATTCATTTATTTCCAAATTGGAAGACACAATTTCCAACATTTGAATATAAAATGATCTTTATGAAATGCAAATGACAAATCAGTAAAGGTAGCCGAGAGGACCCAAACTCAAAAGCATTTTGTTTTTTCTCAGCAAAGCAAGTGAGATTGAAAGTTTGATTACTATGTAGAGCATCATGTTACTTGTGGAAGTAAACCAGAGTAAAGAATGGAACGTGGCAGTTTTTATCTTTGATCTGTATTGACTCAGTTAATTTGATACAAAACAGCTGATAGAATGTTACCAATAGTTTTGATGTTCATGGGCTAAGATGATTAAAGCAAGAAAGTTATTGCTTGCAATTTCTATTCAGTGTGCTCTCATTGGAAATGGGGACACAATTTGTGTAGCTAGGTACAGTGCTCTCAAAAACAGCAGGCCATCACTCCTTGTCTTGCTCATATGCGAAAGGTCACTTGCCCAATTTATCTGAAGACTGCTGTTGCCAATGAAGCCATTTGACGCTATTTTTCAAATTCTTCCTTTATCACATAAATAAGATTTCACCAAAATGCATGGGTTAACCTGCCAGACTTAAGAGGCATATGAACAGACGAAGCAATTACAGTTGAAACACAAATGCAAGTTTGAACCACCCTCCCAGCAAATTACCAAAACACTATTTTAACTCCAAATATATTTTTGGGCTGAAGTCTGTTAAAAAAAAGGAAAAAAAAATCTCAAACTTGAATCAAATGTTCTGACCGATATTCCAAATTGAAAACAGCAGTTAGAATGTCTGATATTAAACGGTGAACTTGCAGTTATGAATTTAATTACCTGTATCATACTCCTCTTCATCTGCAATACTGAAGACAGGCTTTACCCCCCGATAGGGTTTTCCTACCCTGTCACTGCTGCTCACATGCCTGAGTAAGATCAAAATCCAAAAACTTCAGTACAAGTTGTATTAGTCACAGAACATTCAAAGTGTTAAACTAATCAAATGCCTTCAACAATATTCCCTGCATATTGAAAACCACAATCCTCCACAAATAAACTGATCATCATAAAGGCTATGGTTTTAGAAAAAAGGAACACATTTTAACAAAATCAAATTTAAACTGTATCTAAATAGAGGAGTTAATTTAGCATTTAGTTGTTTTGTGAAAGAATTTTTCAAATTTAAAAAGGTGTTATTAGTTGCATACTCCAAGATTTTTAGATCACCTTGCATTTTTACCAAAGTGTAGATGCTTCTGAATAAGTTACGGTGTTAGGTTGGGAGAAGGTGATCAACACTAGGATGTAAAAATGGGGAAGCGTGAAGACCTTTCATAAAGAATTTGGAAATAAGTTTCACTTTTTCACTGAAAATCAGAGAAAAGAATAATCCCTTGGTTGGTAGTTGAAAAAGAACTGGTTTCCTGCTATACTACAGCTGTGTTAACAACTATTTTTACGAGAAGACATTTTCTTAACTACTGTTGATACAAATGACCTCTCAAGTAAATGAATTTCCATAAATCTTACATGATTTCAAACCCATATTTATTAGAATACGCTCAGGATGTATTAAACTGTATTAAGTATAGTGACATGAAATAATAGTGTTAATTGAATCTTAATAAATAAATTATAAGTCAAAACAATTCAACAACTCGGACATGACAGCATTATAGTGTGGTTCATTTAACTCTAAAACACAATTATGGTGAATGATCAGTAGACCAATATGCATATTAGGAATGGATTATGTGGCAGGTCAGGGCTGTCGGAGATTGGTGAAGCGTCAATAAAATAAATTAGGTATGTCTATAGGCTTAAAATATGAGCATTATCTGTACATCAAATTATCCACAAAATCTTCTGAGAGAGAAGCAAGAATGTAGCAAAAGACTTGAGTACGTTGGGATTGCAGCAGGAGTCAGGCTGATTGCATAGCTAAAGAAGTGCACAAAGAACCAAGAATACTAAAACAAATTTTATTGCACAAGGTACATTTTCAAATATTTTGAATAATATTTCCTGCAACTGGAGTTGGATGACACTGAGCATTTTGTGTAGTATGTAAACAATAAGCATATTAGCAAAATTACAAAAGCATTTTTGTTAGTGAGGCAAAGTGTAGAATTGCAGAACCATGTAACTCAGCCATGAATGCAACAGCTAGAATATATTTTGGTATTTATGACCACAAATAACCAAAGTTTTCGAACAGAAAATAAGACTTCAGTGCAATCATTAATACAAGGCTTCATAATTCACACAATCTGAACTTCATTCATGTTCATTTTCACTGGAAGTCCTAAAAATCTAACTTATATCGTGCATCTAATAACCCAGAGTATTCATGCCAAGTGTGATGCCAAGCTACATCCACATGGTGCCTTCATACGTAAAAGTGCCAAAGGTGCTGAGGGGAGATATCTCCAAGGGAAAAATTGACAGAATGGAAGGTGGGATGTTCAGAGGGATGACCAAAATAATGGTGAAAGAAAGGGGTCAGGAGTTGGGTAGCGAGAGGGAGAGACGGGAACAAAGATCAGTGCTATTCTGTTTGGTTTGGAGGTGCTTTGTGTGAGGATACAAAGATGAGAATTTTACATTTGAAATGTTGGGAACTGAAATCAACAAGATCTGGGTATTGAGCAGATGGGACAATATATGTTTTTATTAGGAGTCATAAAGGGCAGAGGATAAGACACCAGCCAGAAAAGCTTGGAACAGTCAAGTCTGGAGATGAAGTGGGCATGGATGATGATTTTAGCATAGCTGAGGATGGGCCAGCTCCTAGGTAAACAGTGGGAATATGTTGAGTCTAGGCTTACACTGAAAGATTGAGACCAAGGGCTACAGGAAATGGGATGACGGAACCTACCAAGGGTCAGTGCTCTTAGGAGAAGAAAAGGAAGTCGGAAAATAAGACATTATTTAGCATAAGTGGAGTGAACTTTAATGAAGCAGGTGAAAATCTTGACTTTTAAAAATTCTTATGATGCTGAGCAACAGAAATTGGTCTTTCAGAACTAAAAAAAATATTAATAAGCAAATTAATTTAAAAGACTAAGTGCAACTGACAGACAAAACTGAGAGACTTGATACCACATTGAGTCAATGTCTGTAACTACCTCTCGAACATCCGTGGAAATATTGATTACTGAGCTTTATAATGAAGACTGAAGCTATGGAGTATACAGTTTTAATCACATTTTTATTTTTGAGAAACAAGCTGACACTAGATTTAAATAGCAACATTCAACATAATCTCCTGATAGATTCCAAGTTTTTTTTTGATCCTTCAACAGCAAACGTTTTTCTTAAAATGCTTGTATAACCAATAATCAAATAACAGCAGCAAAACCAGTAAGGCTATTTTAAACAGGAACATTCTTGAAAAAGGTAGTCAGCCTACTTTATTAAAAATGTCAATAGATTTTAAGAGGTTGAGTGTATATTTGGTATTTACATAAAAGACCCAGCACAACAAAAGCATGGAGTTAGGCCACAGGTCAACCAAGATCTCACTGAATGGTAGAACAGGTTTTAGGGGCTGAATTGCCTATTCCTGTTCCTATACATCTATGAATGCCAAAACAGATGGTGAAATTCTCTAATAACAGGTGGAGTGCTCTGCAAGATTCCCAAGATGTCAGAGAAGGTCATATACATTCAAGAACATATATGTACAACTTCAGGGCATAGTTCTACTGTGAAGTACCGATGTTGAATACATGACCTTAGATAAACCAAATAAATAAGTTCTCTCTTAAGGGTTAAAATGCTGCAGCAAAGCAACAGTAAAAGGCCAAAGTAGGAAAGCCTTGTACAGCATGCTGAAGTACATAGACCAGAGTTGGCAAGCTATTCTCAACACCATCTTACCAATTGAGGTTCACTTTTTCTGGCCAAGGAACTTGAAAAGCCATTCTATATTCATTAATAATAGAAAACAAAACAAAAGGCAATAATTTTAAATAGAAAGAAAAAGCTTAGAAATGAAAGCTTAGTCACATTAAAAAAATTGTTCCAAAAGGCACTCTAAATTTCACCTAATCTGTATTTGCATATGTATAGCTCATTGTGCCATCTTCAAATATGTAAAGACATACACACATTAGAACTGTAAATTTGCTCGTGATTTTGAAATAACTCCTCAACATGCACCTTAAATTTGTTGAAGTGAAACATTTAACATGAACATGTAATAAAATGTATTTTACTTTAAAAAAATCCTACTGCTAGAAAAAACTGTTTGCTAACATAGAAACTCACAATTTGGTCTTTACAAAAGCCAATATAGAATAAAATATAATTTTCAACTTTACTACATTACCTTTCAACTGGTGTTGATGTATTCTCAATGAAACTGATCACCTTCTCTTTTACGTTCACAGATTTGGATTTAAGAGCAAAAGTCATTTTATTTACTAATGACTTGACTCCCCTTCCATCACCTGAGCCATTTGGGGAGTCGCCCTGTAAAAGCATTTAATCAAACACGATTACAGAAACCTCAAAAAGCAGCATGAGCAACATGATAGTTTGCTTTACTATTTCTTAGCAGAGTAATTCATTAACTGCAGGAAATATTTAGAACGTGAAACACATGCTTTTATAAACTTTTATCTTACTGCTGCAGTGAGTGTTACCTCTGAACTATTTACCTATTGTAATATGTTTAATGAAAGGATGCTGAGAAGACATCAGTCCTTTATTGAACAAAAAGGTACAGTCCGTTTAAAATTGAAAAATAATACAAAACATTCCCTCATGGCACAGACTAAAGTAAAATATTGTACATGAAAATTTGAAGAGTCTCACAATGCAATATCCCCAACTGTGAATCAAAAGATAGTTTCCACAAGAAGTTGTACTTTAAATGCTGTCTGGATTCATGCAAGTATAGTACAATCAAGTTTCACCTATTTAACCTAACCCTTTTTAAAGAAAATATTTTAAAGAAGGCATTGAAATAACAAATATATACTTACATCAGAAGAGATACTTCCACGAGATCCAGATGTACTAACAATCCAGTGACCATAGCCATTTTCTGGACCATCTACATTTATGTCTACAAGGTGCTGCTGCAATGCTGCAAGACAGGGCAGCTTACAGATACTGACAATGATCACCAAACTGTCCAATCTTACTTGCAATAATAGTCTTCATAAATCTCAATACAAAGAGAACACTGTTCATCAGAACAACCTTTTAATTCAATCAGACTACACAGTACCTAATCATCAATCTTGGTTAGTTATTTTATTCATTTAATTATCGGTTGGCATATATTAGTATTGTTTCTTCATTTCAAGTGACCACTTAATTGGTTGATTTAACAGTTACAGCAATTGTGATGGATTATCTGAACATTTTATCACCAGAGACAGAACTTTTAAATTAATCTACCTAACTATGCTTGAGAAAGGATATCAGCCTGGAGATTTGGCATCTAGATTAACAGAAAATAAACTGTATCCTGTAGGGTTTGTGTTAACTTTCTGTTATTGGAGAATAATGATTTACATTCACATTTTAATCAATATTTGCATGATTATTCAAAATGGGGAATCCCAACAGCACATGTTCTGATAATCTGAACAATAACTGTAATCCTAAAATATAGTATTGCAGAATGATCACAACCACACCTCTTGAACCTTAAAGCTGAAGGACTGTATTAAATCAAAATGCACTAGGGGACAGAATTGACAAAAAGTATATTAATTGGCAAATGACATGTCCTGTTCATTTGAAGCTGGTCTCTTACAAGTTAAGCAACACATCTTCACATGAAGGCCAGTATAAGTATGGCAGTGCCTTCCAGCAAAAGCAGTAGGTCGTTGCTCACAGTTTATACTAAGTGTTTTGAATGAACCTCTATTGTCTCAAGATGGATTATGGTCAGAAGCAGCAAAGTGTTTCTGAGAGGAACGGCATATGTTCTACGGAGGTAGTTTCTGGTGGAGATAATGATCTGTTGAAATCCTAAATGATATGTTCATCATTAGAAATTTCAGACTACTTAGCAACAAAGAATTTGGTGGAATTCATCATAAATGGCAATTAAATTCAATTCTCAACAGGATATTTCTGAGAATGTGGATTGAGCAGATTCAGAACAAACGTTTATTCAAATTACTTGAGACATTTAAGGTGAATTAAAAACATCACAAACATTCACTCTGAGGCATTGGGATTGCACAAATGCTGTAATTTCTACGACATCTCACATAGGAGAGTGGTATTTCAACTGGCTGATCCCTTGATCAAACGTAAAAAAGAGCAGAGGTCAAATTCTTAATTTTCTTTTCCGGTCGAAACAAAGAAAAAGGACAACCTGAAATACTCTCAATGCCAAGATTGTCTGCTCTAATGTGAGTGAAGCATTGCAAAAGCAAAATACTGCAGATGCTGGAAAGCTGAAATAAAAATAAGAGCAGGAACAGGTCATGCACCATCAATGGACAGAAACAGTTAATGTTCCAGGCTGATCATCTTTCAATGAGAAAAGAGCATTGCATACATTTACAGATGAAGTTAAAAGGCAAAGTGCCAAAGCAATGTTAGTATATTTACTTCTTTTCCAAATGCTGCAGGCTTATATTTTTGATCATTTGGAGTTCTCAGCTTTCTAGGTCTATGACAACTAAGCTTAAACTTCCAGTTTGCAGATCTTCTAGCTTGGCACTCATATTAGAGAACAGATGACAATCATAAGGCATTAATAATAAATGATATAACCAACCTATATTTTACAAAATAGAGAGCTAAAAAGCAGGAGAATTTTATATCTAGTATCAAATTTAAGAGAAAGCATGATATTTAGACACTTCTTTTGCAGTCTGCAACAATGATTAGAGAGGCTGTATTAAAGAAGGAATTGGTTCAATCCACACACTGAATTAAGTGATTTCAACCAAGGCAATGAGTGAGGAAGATCATCTGTCTGTGGAGGTAGTTTCTAGAGAAATAATGACCTGCATCACCATCCTTGTGATTTGAAAACCCTCTAACAATCCATTAAACACTTTAAAAGTTGTCACTTGCTTCCACAAATATTTGCCAATTAATTATCTCTGTTGTTACCTTGGAATAAAGCTTCTCAAGTTACTTACATACTGACAATTTTGTGCAATCTGAAAACAATAATTTGTTAATAACTTACTTCTGAGTCAGTGCACCAACTATAATATCAGCAAACACAATTTATCAATGTAGCATATTTTCTACATTTCATGACTGTTGCATGTCTGAAAATAAAAAGGTTGTTCTGGGACAGTCTCGATGTTCATGATAAACAAAATAACAGATCACCAAATCTGAGGTGAAGGATGAGATTGTTTGAAGAATAACAATTTCAAAGAAAAAGGGAGCAGCTTCCAACAGCAACCAAGGACACCAAATGTATCAGAGTCTTCCCACAGTGTTTTGTATATATTTTTTAAAAGTTCTAAAGCAAAGGAAATTTATAGTTGGAGATAAGAGGGATACATGTTTAAAATAACAGTCACTATAATTATAGCTCTAAAAAGGTAGGATATGAAATTCAACATTGGGTACAATTATAGAACTTCTATAAAGAAATCCAGATAGGATAACTATAAAATAATTGTAACTGGCGAAATCTAGATATATTAACTAATAAAAATTGGAAGTGTTTTTTAAACATCCTGTAGCTGAATAAAGGACTATAAAAAGTGGAGCATTTTGCCACTTGGTAGGGAAGAAAACTGCTCTCAATCGCCTTTCATATTCTGACTGGTTACCCATAAAATGAGATTTCACCTCTTATAGATTTAAAGAGAAAGTGTATTCAACTGAATTGTTACATTATCACAAAATTATAAATGTTTTTCAAATGTTCACAGTTGCAAACTGCCATTTAGAAGTAGTATGGGTGCTGAATATAGTTAAATATCTGAACATTTGAACAAAAGTGATCCATTGTGGAGCAGTCAAATTTTCTTGTGACTCAGTATCCAGCATGAGTTCATCCCTAAACGTAGTAACATAGTAACTACAGGAACAGAAAATAGAATTTCTGTTCAGATGTAAAATAATGTTAGTCAAATTGCCAATATGCCATTATTATCTATGCTGATCTTTTTATTATTTACATTGACAATTAAATGCAAGAATAATTTAAATGATGAGAAATCATAGTACAGGTAGTAAATATAAATCACATAACTGGGAAATACACAGTGAAGAGATTCAGATTATCAGTCATCAATTCCCAGCTATTCATATGCAACAAGGCTTATATTTATTATATAATGTTGAATTGATAAAAATCAGTCATCCATAGACCTAAGCCTTAGTCAAAGCATTTGGAATTTTCAATAATTTTTCAACATTCTTTCACACTATTTATTTTAAATGAAGTCAAATATAATCCCTCTTACTTAAACCATAAAGTCCTTCACTGAAAACACCAAAGTAAGACTCTGCCATCAGAAAACAGCATGCTAATTGACAAGAAATAAAATTAAGTTTTGTTAAAACGGCAATAACATCAATCCACTAAAATGCTGAAGGATAAAGATTACAAATAAATAATACAGTGACTATAATGGAACACAAGGAACAAATACACAATGTAAGGCAAAAATAACAAAACAGCTGCTGAAGAATGAAAACACATTCATACAAAAAAACTGAAAAACGTTGAGCTTCAACAATTGCAAACTTATTAGAATTTTATAGGAAGGAAATACTATAATTAAAACCCTCTCAGATTACAAAAAACATCTAAAAAATTGCATTACTTAACAGTACAATATTTGCTTTATTGCTAGTTTCCAATACTTATCTCCAAGAGAATACTTTGGCAATGTCTAATTAGCACACAATTTCAAATGATGACAAGAATGAACTTAATCTATTTTTCGTAAAGGATAGAGATAAATGAAATTATAATTTTCTGTCAATTAAATTAAAATAGAATTGTTTGTACAAAATAGAACTATTTATGATTTACTTCATGTTTTTCAACAAAAACCAAGTAAGGAAGCAGATTTTATCAAACAAATAAGAAATTGGTCAATATCTTCAATACTGATGCAATATTAAACAGGTTTGTTTTGGGGCATAAGGTCTTCGTTGAATGAGAAAAACTAACATTCAAACATTTGAGAACTTACCCATAAAGCCCCCTCTGGCAATGCTAACATACTCCTTTTTTTTCTAGAATACAGAAACAAAATAAAAAATGCTTGAAAACTGCCCTTTAATATGGATTATAAATGCATAACTTGTAAGGATATAACCAATTTATTATATAATGATACAGGCTGGCAAGAGCAAAGATGATGATGATTAAGGCTATCAAGCTCAAATTATACAAAGTGCAATAATTGTATAACTCTGGTGTTTCGATTGATCCTTTGAAAACAATAATGTGAAGTTGAGCTAAGACATATGCTAAGCATGCAAATAACACAAATTATGCCCACAAGCAGAAACAGGACTGATGCTGAAGTCTGTGGTCAAATGTCCAGTCACCTGTAGAAAATGGGCCAGCACCATGTTCATATACATGTCTTCTTCTTCTCGGCCACTTCCCATGAAGCACAGATGTTCGCCACTTGCGACTGACCCTGACTCGATGGATTGTTTCTGTGCTTCCAAAAGGGACTTAACTGAAAGTGCAAACTCTGCAGGGTTCTGCAGCATCTGTGGAAAATGGTAAGAGTCCTGTTAAGTTGCCAAAAGAATTGAAAGATATACAAAAACTGTTCATAGGTTGCAGTTACATTTCATATCAAATTAAAATTAGCACAATATATGTAACCAAAGTGCATACAAGTGATGTCTTATCTTTAAATTTCATTGAAGTTTACAAGAGAATAATTTTTGGTCAAAATTTTTAAAACTTCAGAAAATGGCTACTTACTTGTTTTCCAATGATAACTTCCTAGGCTTAGATTATCTAGATAATCATATCATTACATTTCAATAAAGAAATGCATATAGTACTCATAATTCCCAATCTATATACTTATTACTTAACAAAGAAAATAGTCAGCTAGTCTGTCCACTTGTTTCAGGCTTGCTATTTAAATAATTACATTTTCTCGCTCCACTTATATTATTTGTCGCAATGTTTTAAAAATTCTGTCATGAAATTAAGTTCAGCACTACAACAGCTTTTGCAGCTTCTGGCCAGAGAAATAATTTTGCTAGAACAGGACCTTGTATCCCAAATGTGACATCACTAATGATCAAGAGAAGTTAGACTAACTACTGATTCACTCCCACTTCCAAAATTATTCTATTGCAACATTTTTTCTGTTAAAGGTGAACCTTTCAGAGAATGGACTACCATTACACACAAATTAATTTGAGACTATCCTAGACCATAGACTCATAGACATGCACAGCATGGAAACTGGCTCTTCGGTCCAACTCGTCCATGCCGACCCAACATCCCAGATAAATCTAGTCCCAACTGCCAGCATTTGGCCCATATCCCTCTAAACCCTTCCTATTCTTCTAAGCCCTCTAGTTTTTGATTCTCCCACTCTGGTGAAAAAAACCTTTTCTATTTATCTTGTCCATGCCCTTCATGATTTTATTAACCTCTATAAAGGTCACCCTTCAGTCTCTGATGCTCCAGGAAAATTAGCCCCAGCCTATTCAGCCTCTCCCTATAGCTCAAACCCTCCAACCCTGGCAACATGTTTATAAATCTTTTCTGAACCTTTTCAAGTTTCACAACATCGTTTCAATTGCAGGGAGACCAAAACTGCACGCGGTATTCCAAAAATGACCTAACCAATGTCCTGTACACCCTCAGCATGACCTTGCAACTCCTATATTCAACGCACTGACTGATAAAGGCAAGCATACCAAATGCTGCCCTCGCTGTCCTATCTACCTGCAACTCCACTTTCAAGGAACTACGAACCTGCACTCCAAGGTCTCTGTTCAGCAACACTCCCCAGGACCATACTATTAAGTGTATAAGTCCTGCTTGGATTTGCTGCCTGTCACAAAAATCCATACAAAGTTATTTCCAAACTTTCCAGAGTGTCACGCCCAGTGTGAAACCTATTAGAATTTGAACTTGAAAAGCAGAAATTTATCTCGTACTGTTCGAAACATCCCTGTAAGCTTTCCAAATAATGCAATGTAATTATTCAGCCTTACTTTCAGCAATCTATCACATTAATGCAGAGCATGCAATAACTTTTCTGTATAAGTTTTTATTTACCAGGTCAGAATCTAAATGAAATGCTGTAGAAAGATGCCCAGCATTGTACTGTTCTGCAGGTCGACAATCCACTACAAAGAAACGAACTCCATCCTTTAAAGTGAAAGCAAGATAAAGAAACACAAGAGAGATAAAACAAGGGGTTTGCAACCTAGTGTAAAAGGTTACTCAACTATAATATTCTGAAATAATTAACTGCATTAATAATGAATCGTAATGTTTATAATTCCCATTATGTCTGCATGTTTACACCTCATTACATTCTCAATTGCAACACTATCTAGAGATTCCAGTGTAAATATCTAATCTAGATATCCATTATCTGAACAATGTTGCAAACTACTAGATATCAAAGAACAAAATTATTCTTCCCACCCTTTTTGGCAAAGCAAAATGCCTCAGACCTTGCCAATTATAGCTCCTTTAAATCCATCTTTTATCTCACCATGCCATCACCAATATCCATCACCGTCCCATCATTTAATTTCACCTGCTTTCTCCAGAATAGATCTTTCCTTTTGTCTTCTTCTCTTCCCTTCCCTTCCACACTTTCCAGTCCTATGTACTTGCTTAAAATCTGGTGCAATTCTAACATTTCATTTGGATGAATGGTCAACCTGCAACATTAACTTCTGTTTTTCTCACTGCAGATACTGCATTTGCTATTTTTAATTTTAGATTTCTGACATCCGTCATATTGAGGTTGCAGATTTGCTTGCCGAGCCGGTGTGTTTGATTGCAGAAATTTCATCATCTTGCTACTTAATATTGTCAGTGTGCCTCTAGTGAAGCTTTGGTGTTCTGTCCCACTTGTTATTTATATGCCTCAGTTTGCTGGGGTGGTTGGTATTACTTCCGGTTTTGTTCTCCGGTGATAATGTTTCTCACAGTCCTTGCATGGTATTTTGTATATTACATTAGTTTTATTAGTGGTGGGTATGGGGTCCTTTACGTTCATCAGTAGCTGCTGCAGGATGGTACACAAGCCAGGGGACCCCCTCAGACCCACTGTCTCACTACCAGGCACACCAACATATAGGCTAGTCAAAGAACTACAACGGAAACTGAAATACTTAGTTGACAACACTACCCACTCCATCCACTTGCAAGAATTCCTCAACATCGTCAAGGACACCAGGATAGAAGAGGACGAGATAATGGTATCCTTTGCCGTAACAGCATTATTTACATCCATAAACATCGACCTAGCCAAAGAGACAATTGCCACACTTCTGGACAAATCAGGAAGGCAGGCATCCCACGACACCAACATCATCAAGAACAGCACCCTGAAACTACTGGATCTGTGCCTCACAACCCACTTTACTTTCAACGGCCATATATTTAAACAAATCAACAGAACACCAAAGGGATCCCAAATATCAGGACTGATAGCTGAAGCAGTAATGCAAAGATTACAATGGACAGCACTCCCCAGTATCCAACCCAAACTCTGGGTCCGCTTTGTAGATGACACCTTCATGATTATCAAACGCACGAGACTAGAAGAAACTCACTGACACATAACCAACATCCTCACCGGAATAAAATTCACAAAAGAGAACAACAACTGATTACCCTTCCTGGACATAATGGTGGAATGTAAGAACAACGGGGAATTCCAGGCTAGCGTACACGGAAAGACCACACATACGGACCAGATACTTAATTACACTGGCAACCACCCAACACCCACAAATGGAGCTGCATCAGGCCATTATTCAAACAAGCCACAACACACTTCAGCAACCCAAAATTGCACAAAGCGGAAGGAGAAGACTTCTACAGAGTTTTAAAAAGGAATGGATACCCAAAAGGCACAATCCGCCATTACCTCTGCAACACACCATAGCAAGAAGACACCACACTGCCAGACAGACTAATCACCCTACCGTACACGAGGGATATATCGGAGATGACCACAAGACTACTCAGACCCCTAGGTATCAGGGTAGCCCACAAACCAACAACCAACCTGTGACAGCTACTGACGAACATAAAGGACCCCATACCCACAACCAATAAAGCTAATGTAACATACAAAATACCATGCAAGGACTGAGAGAAACATTACGTAGGCCAAACTGGAAGAAAACCGGCAATAAGGATACACGAACACCAACTAGCCACCAAGAGACATGACCAATTCTCATTGGTCTCAATAAACATGGACAAAGAAGAACATGAATTCCACTGGGACAACACATCCATAATAGCACAAGCCAGACAGAGACATGCCAGAGAATTCCTGGAGGCCTGGCATTCCAACCGGAACTCTGTCAACATTGACCCGATATACAAACCACTGAAGAATGAAACTGGACGTAATACCAACCACTCCAGCAAACCGAGGCAGATAAATTACAAGCGGGACGGAACCCCAACACTTCACCAAGGTGCACTGACAATGTGACAAAACACTTGCAACCAAACAAGACTGCAACTTCATCCATGACCTGAGCTACAAATCTTCTCAAAAAATTTATCCACCATATCGTGCTTGTGTGTGTGTTTAGCAGACTGTCTGCTGGTACACACACTATTAAATTCAAATGAATCTTGATACTCAAGTCATTAATGAGAACAAAAAATATTCATTATTTTTGCAAATCTCAGTTTTCCCTGGAATAAACTATTTTGTTTAAACAGGTTGGTTTGTTTGTGTATATTTACCCCTTGTTGATTTGCTTGTAGGATCTCCGATACCGAAACAGGCAAACATAAAGCTTGGCTCAGATCCATCTCATCATCTTTCAATCCCAGTAGATTACTTCCAAACAGATTTTGGTTATCCTGCCATGAGTAATGTTGTTAGTCATGAGCAATTATATGGCAATTGTTTCATTACTAGCTACTACTAGTTCTGAAAAAGGGTTACTGTATTTGAAACATTAATTTTGCTGTCTCTTCACAGATGCTGTAAGACTTGCTGAATTTCTCCAGAAATTTCTGTCTTTGTTTCAGAATTCCAGCATCCATAGTTCTTTGTTTCAGTTACTCGACACTATTTTGCTTTGTTGATTGATGTATAACTGTCTTGGAAACACCATACAAAGGCTCAGCACTGAATCAACCTTCAGCTAGAAACACTAATTTTATGCAAAATATCAGACTTTTCCATTCCATGATTAAAAAAAATAGATTTTGTTTAAAAAGAAACTTCATGTTAAGAGATAGTAAGAACTGCCGATGGTGGAGTCCGAGATAACAGTGTGGAGCTGGAGGAATACAGCAGGCCAGGCAGCATCAGAGGAGCAGGAAAGCTGACATTTCAAGTCAGGATTTCTGATGAAGCATGCCGACCCAAAATGTCAGCTTTCCTGCACCTCTGATGCTGCCTGGCCTGCTGTGTTCCTCCAGCTCCACACTGCATCGTCTTTATGTTAAATTTCTTTTGATATTTCCGCTTATGCGTATGCTCTCATCTTTCAGTTTATTTCCAACTTTTATTACATCAAGTGAGTGATAAAACTTGCTGGTTACTTCCTGGTTTGCAATACATGAAAGTGCTTCAACATAATTGGTTGATTAGCCTGACGACATCATGGTAGGCGATCACCAGAGTTCCTCAATAGCTGGCACCAGAATGAAACTAACATTGGGAAACATAGAAAATAGGAGCAGGAGGGGCCATTCAGCCCTTCGAGCTTGCTCCGCCATTCATCACGATCATGGCTGATCATCCGACTCAATAGCCTAATCCTGCTTTCTCCCCATAGCCTTTGATCCCGTTTGCCACAAGTGCCATAATCTAGCCACCTCTTGAATACATTCAATGATTTGGCATCAACTACTTCCTGTGGTAATGAATTCAACAGGCTCACCATTCTTTGAGTGAAGAAATGTCTCCTCATCTCTGTCCTAAATTATCTACCCCGAATCCTCGTACTGTGACCCCTGGTTCTGGGAAAGGCGAAAATGGTGCCACAGAACTTGGTGGACCTTCGTGGGCAACTTTCTCAGAGGGGACTGGCAATGGCAGGTACTGTTGCTTCCCTGCCAACTTAGAAATCCAGGTCAGTAGACTAGAGATTTGGGGGGAAAATATATATGAATCTGTACAGTTTAGAGAAAACGCAAGATGTACAGAATGCTGTACCACACTGTACTTAATCAATTAGATAAAAATTATTGTAACCTCTCAAACATTGATATTAGAATTCCATCAGAATGTTTACAACACAGCTGATCATTTGGCCCTTCAATTCAAGATCAATTTAATTAATCCCAGTCCCGCACAGCATCACGACCTCATTCCTACTCATGTTCCTCTGGTAAACACAAATGTTTCAGAAATGTTTTGATGATGAGTTCAGCATTTTTCTTTCAGGATTGAAGGATTATTGCAGTTTTCGAAAGCAAATAACCTGACACCCATTCTAAGTATTATTTACACAGCTGCTAGCTCAAGCTGTAATAAATGGTCTGTGGATGAGTTGGAGCCAAGGACCCTGTACAAATAGAGATTCTGCTGGCAACAAGTAGCTGATTGTCATCATAACTGCTCACTAGTTCAGAGGCCAAACGACTTCTACTGACTAACAACTCTGAGATTAGATCTTAGATAGCTGAAAAGCTTGGGGCTGTAAACAAGTTGGGGAGGAAGCATTGGATCCTCAGAAGCTCTGTCTTCTGTATTAAATAACATATTAAGCTTGAAGAAAATCTATTTACTTTTCATTTAGCAGTTGTTATAAGCAGTGACTTTTAATTAGTAAGTTAGAGAAACTTAAGTGTAAATCGTGCCTACTATAAACAAGTGTAAACATCTAAAGGAAGACCGAGAAGCAATGTTCTAATCTGTACAAGATTCCTCGTTGCAAATCCTGTGAACAGAGACCCCTACACTGCTTTCCCAGACTCTCCCTCTGCCCATAACACCCGTGTGTGTGTGTGCGTGTGCGCACGTGTATGTGTGTGTAGAGGGGCAATGTATATGGGGATTAGAGTTTTCATAGTTATATGCCAGTGGTTCACAATTGCTATCTGTAATTAGAGTGTACTTATTTATAATAGGCAGTAATTCTTGTTACGTATACTAATCTGGTCTATGCTTTGTCAACCTGGGTCTATAAAGACAGGTAAATTGGGGAATTCTGCATACTTGTTAGAATATTTTCATCTTTCTGATGAATACAAATGATTTTCTGGGAATAGTGTGACTCTATTTTCAGCATACCGCCCCAGTGAGGTGTAACAATGGTATTTCAGCAATGATATTAGATGCTACTATAGTCTTGACAACAGTCAGTGCTCCTTTGCAATTGGCAAGCATAAGGAAGGCAAATATCATTTATGCCATTATCAGTTAAAGCATTAAAAATAAACACAGACAGCAAAGCAACACACATGTAATTCTCCATTGCTATGTCACACGTCATGAGAAGCAGATGCGTGATTATTGTATGAAGTACCATTCTTAGCTCTGTCACAGAACAAAGGAGACCTATCCCAGATGTTGTCCATGTATCCTTGTACAACCTGTCACAGTAATACAATGGTCTATCGCAACAATTCGACAATTCCACGACAGCATGCTGGCTCATATCCTGGATGAAGTTGAGTCATCTGATCTAACCCCAGTAACTAATGAAATTAATCAGCTTTGCACATTAGCACCTTTTTCTTCAGCACTTTTTCTTCTTCCCGGGCTCTTCAATGTCTTTCATGATATTTATCATGACATCAAAATCAGAAGTTGTATGGACTGAAAGTTGCTCAAATCTGAGACAACTCCACACAAAGATCAAGGGCTCCAATTGCCATTTGCTGTTTGCTAATGACCTGGTATGGACAATGGGTCAGAGTTTGACTTGTAACATACAATGGACTGTTCTCCAATTCATGTGACAACTTCAGCCTTAAATAAATTGAAGCAATGTACCAGGACGCAGGAAAGCCCCATCTTGAACTCACTGTTTCAGCTCATGTTTAGCAGTGAATAAGTTCACTTATCTTCAAGGTACATTTTCTCGATGTTGCCCAGATTGTGGGCGAGCCCCATGCAAGAACTGTAAAACCAAGTGTCGTCTTCTCCAGACATTGACCATCCATTTGAGAATGAGGTGGAGTAAGTCTGCCTTTCAAACAGAAAGTGAGCAATTATTCTGCCCACTCAGCTGTTGGTGGGAAAGACACAGAATTTGCAGGAGTGTCATGCCAAGAAACCCAACCACTTTCACTTGAGCTGCCTTCAGAAGCCCTTGAACATCAGATGGCAGGATGTTTTAAAAAAAAAAGACACTGACGTGCACACCCGAGTGAGTTGGCACATCAGGCTTCAACAAGTCACAACTGAGTTGAACTGGTCACAAAGCAAATCTTGTTAAATGGTTCACTGATATCAACTTTGATGTTGATTTCAAATCTAGCCTGAGTGTTGCACCTGCTGTGGTCAAATGAAAAATGGTGCTGCCACCTTCAAAAGCAAGCATACATCATCACAGGCAGAAAGGTGCAAAGAAAGGAAATTCTGAGCCAACACCTTATACAAAACTCAATCTGTGCATCCTGTTCTATCTTCATCAGCACCTTCAGGTTCCTTAACAGTCACCTATGTACCCACTGAAAATCTAACAAACTGCCAGATGATGAACATGGTCTTCTTGAAGGATCAGCAAGAGAAAAAAACAATAGTGTCACCTGCATATATCAGCATGTCAAACTAGTTGTCCGAGTCAGCAAAGCATGGTTTTAAATAAAGACGTTAACCACAATCCCAAAAGGTACTATCTACAATCCTTGCATTTTTTTTTGACGCTGGAAGACACCTTCCATGTTAACTGTTTTTAGAACAGGATAAAGACAGATATTCTTGTCTTGCCACATAATTTATATAGAAAGATGTCTTATTCTTTTGGATGGCATTTGATGTCAATTCAAATTTTTATTACTATAAATTTTCAAAAACAAGTCATACAATTTTTTTTAAAAAAGGATTCTGCCTAATTGGAATCTTGATTGTATGTTTAGTTGTTGCATGTGAATCAAAATTAAAGGATGAATGTTTTTGTGCTTCAGAAATAAAAGTACCTTTCTAAATGAAGCAGGTGTTCGGGTATAATAATACAGTGCCAATGAATAGAGATCCTCTATATCTTCTGTCTCCAGGTTGCATGGAATATGTTCAAGAGATCCTGAAATACAAACATTTGCACACGCTGACAGCAAATACAGTGCTTCATAAAATAAGTCAATTACATTTATTGCTTTAGTAATCTCCTTATTTGGAATCAGAGATTAGACTATGCAGCGTTAAAGACCCAACATCACTTTAAGGGGGGTCCAAGCAAACAGGTAAACAACGTTTTTTGCATTGATTTCAAACATAATTTACAAAATTGTACACTCTCTTAAATACCGACATGTTTATGGTTTGTATTTGGCATATAATATTTATATGTATACACTATTATTGCCAGACATGCATCTCATTAGCTGCACATTCAGAAAAGAATAAGTAACAGGGAGGGAAGACAATTCAAAATGGGTATTAAAATTATTTATTTTTTTTAAAAAGTACCATTCTTTAATAAAGAAAGACTTTATTTCCTGAAAAAGGAAGAACAAGCTAAAGCACAAACTTCATTTAAAATAGCTGACTGGAAAATGGGGTGCAATGACTACATACATTCAAGACAAACAAAAACAAATTGCTGAAGAAACTCAAAAGAATTGGCAGCATCTGATAGGAGAAAACAGCTAACATTTTTACTCCAGTGACTATCCTTCAGAACTAGGAGCAGCTAAGAAAAGGCGAAACTTATGCTGAGGTTCTGGGGGGTGGTGGTGAGGGGAGGAGGGTGAAGAAGAATGCGGGAGGAGAAGAAGAAATGTGCAGACAGGTAGAGACAGAAGACAGGGTAGGCAGGCAAAGGGATTGTTAATAGTAAGCCAGGGAAAGGAGGAGCTGGACAGGTGATAATGGAGTTTGAGTAGTTGCAACTAGGTTGGCTATGCTGAAAGCAACTCACTTCACGACAGGACCAGGGGTTGCAGGGATCAGTAATAGACGAGGAAGATGGTGTTCATGCTCTGAAATTGTTAAACTCAACATTGAATCCCGAATTTTATAAGGTTCCTAAGTGGAACCTGAAAAATAGTTCCTCCACCTTTCACTGAGCCTAACAAGAGCACTGCAGCTGGTCGGAGATATAAATATTGGTATGGGAACACAGCGGTGTTGTGAAGTACCATGCAACTGGAAACTCAGAGTAACGTATACAGACAGAACATAAGTGTACTGCAAAGTGGTCACCCAGTCTGTGTTTTGTCTCCCCAGTATAGAGGGAACTGCATTTTCTTTCTCGCTGGGCTCGGTCTCCACCCATCTGCTCACTCCGTTTTCCATGCTCCCATCATCAACCTAAGTATCACCTTTTCCTAGTTGCTTTTAGTTCTGAAGAAGAATCACCGAACTCCAAGAGTTAACTCTGTTTCTCTCACAGATAGTGCCAGTATTGCTGAGTCTCTCCAGCAATTTTTGGTTTTGATTGTTTCAGGTCTGCAGTTTTGTTTTACCTAAATGCAGTTATAAGTACAGACGAAGGAAAATATTGATTTGTCTATCTGCAATGGGTAAGGAAAATGTAATTATTTATTTATGCAAACCAATTAGGAAGTTCTTACTACTTCACTTCTGTGCATTTCTCAAACCATTCTGCAGTTGTGCATGGCTTCCCCATTTAGAAATGTTTCTGTCAGTCATTCTTATAACAGCACAGTCCCTGCCTCACTTCAAGCTATATGCTCTATTATGCACAATTACTTGCTGCATCTTTTTCTGATCTCATAACTTAAGTTTCTGCCTCGAGTTGAACACAAGGGCTCATTTATAATATTTATATACACTCTGCCAATAAATTTTAATTCACAATCATGTTACTCGTGTAAAGACAACAAGGAAAACCACTAATCAAAGTGAAAATGAAAAGTCAGTGTTCACCTTTCTCTCAGTTCATTAGATTTGCCTATCCCTCAAAGGGCCTAGTGATTAGATTATGGCGAAATGGATAGAACAAGCAAAATTATCTAGGATATCATGTCAACGATAATCTTGTCAACAATTCCTTGTCAATGAAGCAGCTGTAATTCAAAGAACCCATCAGAATAAAACACAAGTTTAGAATAAACTATTGTACCCATGGAGAATAAACAAACTCTGGGCAATTTTTAAACACTTCTGTAACAAATAATTCATTCTATTATTCAAAGAAAGAGGAATCAAATCAACATAGAATTTTGAATCAGATATTTTCCCAACAACAATACCAAGGAACAAAATATCTAGGATATCATGCCAACAATAATCTTGTCAACAATTTGCCAGTGAAATGGCTATGTGGCACTATGGTAGACGATTCATCATGATCTAGAATGGTAGAGTAGGCTCGAGACTTAGGCGCAGGGTGACGTTACCATGTCCATGATGTGCCAATACAGTACAGATTGGGCGAAGAAGAGTGCTCAGCTCTGAGCAGGTAACATGAGCAATGGTATTCTGAATGAACTGCAGCAAGGACAGTGGACATGGTGAAGATTGGCTACAAGATCAGTGCAGAAAGTGAGGCTCAAGGCAGTAGAGACATTTATTCTAATCATAGTTACAACATATGAAAAGGACTGGCAAACAATAAACAAAAAGGAAGAGTAAATCTGGATGGTAAAGTGCACCGAAGTAAGACTCAGATGAGGAAACAGCAGCACATCCTTGTGCCTACTGGATTAAGCCTAATGAAGCAGTTATTGATGCTTATGGATACAAAGGCACATAAAGGTAGAAAGTGATGATATCAAAAGAAAAACCTTCAGTTTGGTTTTTTTTTCTTTAAAATTGTCAAAGAATTTGTTTATCCAAGAACAATTGTGATGCTAGTGTTTCACTGTTTATATCTAAATGTTAGTCACATAATATTTTAAAAAATTCATTACAAATAATTTCTTAGATTATTTTCAATTGCATAGTAAGAGATAGTAAGAACTGCCAATGCTGGAGTCAGAGATAACACAGTGTGGAGCTGGAGGAGCACAGCAGGCCAGGCAGCATCAGAGGAGCAGGAAAGTTGATGTTTTGGGTTGGGCCTCTTCTTCAGAAAGGCCCTTCTGAGGAAGGGTCCCGACCGGAAACGTCAACTTCCCTGCTCCTGCTGTGTTGCACAGTAAGATCTGTTTTAAGAGGTAATTACATCTGTCATAAACTAGATTGCTGATTTTTTTTTTAATATCAATGGTTTCGCTGTAACATAGGGAAGTTAAAAATCCCTTAAACCTATTTCAAAATAAAGATGATTAGATGCATATGATCAATTTTCTTTGAATCCCTAAATTAGACAGACTCAGACTTAAGAGATCTAGTTGATAGTCATTAACAGTAAGTAATTTAGTTTCATTTGGAATGTCACAGCAAAGACTGTGTATAGTATTAGAGGCTTTTTTTTGAAAAAGCCTGAAATTTCACAAAATGAGAATTTATCTGTTAAATTTGACTAATGTTGACCTATTACAGGTTTCTGATAAATACTTATCACAAAGAAACATAAAACCTATATCCTGATAATTTAACATCTTCTATTACAAGAAATAAAGCTGGGCTATGCAAACAGTTACTCTAGCAGCAGATCTTCTCATATCCCTCTGTCATCAGTTGATCAACAACGGTCAAAATAAACAGTACCACGTTATGGTATGCAAACCCATCAAAACACCAAGGTGGCTGTCAAGTCAGCATTGTAGAATGTGCAGAGTTGGGAGAATGACTGGGCTAGAAACTACCAGTGGCTCTGCAACTTTTATGTCTTGTGCAGGATTTTGTAGGACATTAGTAATTTTTATCAACATATATCACCACATAATAAAAACTATTTCTTACATTACAGCTCTCCTATAGTGGCATATTCAGCTAAAATATTGTACAGCTCTAACTCAAATGACCACCAGACCACATTCCAACCTTGGAATAGAGCGGGTGGTGGAAAACGTTTTAGACATAGCTGCACGCATGTGTGCAGCTGTCATAAAAGGTACAGGTAAACTAATAAATAAAACTGTAGGGATCTGGCAACAAGAAACCTTAGGTGCCTTGGGAAAACTGCACAGGGGTAAGTGACTTCTGATTTTTTGGCTTACATTTGAATTTTAAATTTTATTGCACTTACTGCACAATAAATATACTGAACATACGTGTTGAACCATTTCACCTGGGGCCCTCCTCTGCTTGTGCACCAGTAATGCACAGGTCCACAACCAGGAGTTCCTGATTAGAGCTGTTAAAAAAGGGTACAAACAAACTTCAAATGTAAGCATGTGTCCTGAGAAAGTTGAGTACTGTTGAAAGCACTTGAAAATTCAGGGCAGTACAATCAACAATCAGGAATACAGCTTGCTGACGGAAGGAGCTAAGAGATTACAATTGACAGTTGGATCTACATATAGAATTTAACGCCCTATATCAGGGACCCTGGTAATTGTAGAGAGTTGAGGAGTAGGCCATAATGTCATCATGCATGCGTGTGCTGGATAGCAGGAAGGCAAAGACTGCTCCCAATTTGATTTAAACAGCTCCAACTGTTCAATGCCTACTTTTGATGGAGATCACCCTTCCCAAATTCCCCATTGAGCAACTTCTCAGAGGAGCATTAAAGGAACTCAAGGTTCAGCTGTCCAGGCCTCTATCAAGTTCTTATCATCTTTTGCACAATTAGCTCAATAGCCACAGAAGTCAAAGATTCAGCCCCACTATTTCCAACACCTTGGAAGTTCAACAAGGATCACAAAGGTAATTTTGAGTTAATAACTACTTTTGGAACAAATATTACTTGTAAATCATTGCTGAATCAAATTAACATTCAAGATGTGGTTACATATGCAAATTCTTCAATTGTTTTCAACTTGCCTGTTATTTAAAACAATAATCCAAAGTGATGCAAGGAGCCAATTAGAAAGTTTAGACAGGAGAAAAAGTGGCATAAAAGCTTTTCGTCTTTGGAGCCAGTGCATAAATTCAGCATAGACTGACATACGTCTTCTGTCTGTTGACTGTAAGAAATACAGTGAAATGAGTTTGGGCAGCCTCAGTCCAAACCAGTACAAATAGAAAAAAGTCTAAGCACAAATTGTACTTAGTTTGGCACAAATTTGCATCTTACTCAAGAAGTCACAGGACCAGGTGACTAGTGTGGGAAACTGAAAAACAAATGTGTCACAATAGTGCAAAAGCCCCCTTCTGAAATTGGGGTAAAGCATATTGCCACAACAAATTAGACAAAACTTTAACCCTTTATCTGATTACGCTGACCTAGGAGTGCTTGGTGCTGACATTGAACATGTGGCAAGATGTCAATTTCCTACTATTAAAAACCCCTACCTTGAGTAGATAAAAAGTGTTAAAAACGTTACTGAGAAAACATAATTAAAATATTTTAAGCTATGAAAATGGATAATTCTTAATAAATGGCGAATTCTGAATAGAAAGGGAAAATAATTTCTCATTTCTAACTTACTTGATCAACATAAACATATATTCTCTCTGCAACTTGCTTTTTCAGTTTCATCAACTACAGCGTTATGTTTTAAATAAGCAGTTACCATACATATTTTTCAAAAGCAAAAGGAAATAATGTTTTGCCATATTGGTTCCAATGATAAATAGCCTAAAAATTGAGCTTCAACAAGACCTAAAGTTTTGCTCTATCAAACAAAAACTGGTGCTGCAAAACTCATTCTGAAAAATTAAACAATGTGCCTCAAAATAGTTAAACCTAGATTGCTAGTCATAAAATTCTTCTTTCCAACCCCACTCTCAATATTCGCCTTAAGCAATTAACAATTGGGAATGTAAAACGTGCATTTACCGATACTTTAGACAAGAACTTTTGCTACAGCAGTTTGCTATAGTATGCAATTCATCAAGTGTTGTACATTGGTATTTGTGTTATCAAATTTGAAATAGAATTTGGAAATCTTCTCAATATTTAATGCAATTTTGCCTGCTTGATACAGAGTTGGAACATTGGAAGTGGTGGAGCTGTTGGTAATCTTGAGGGCAGCAATGCCCAAGGGAGAAATTCTGCTGTCCCTCAAGTTCATGTGATACATTATCACCGAGTTTCAAAAGTGAGTCTATCCCATGCATTGGTGATGTTGTTGCTTTCTGGTTTTTAGTTTCGTTATTTGATTAGCCATTGATGATCCCTTGTGAAAAAATAACTACATTAATTGTGAGCAGTACCTTGGTAATTAAGGTCTCAGTTGCTTGGACATGGTGCTATATAGTTAAGTTCCTGGACTTATCGTCTAGAAGTCTGAACTAACAATCCAGAGACTAAAAGTTCAAATGGCAACGTGGCAGTTTATTGAGACTCCGTATTTATTTCAGAATCCCCTTCCCCTACCCCATTTGTGAAAAAGGGTCCAGACCCGAAACGTCAGCTTTCCTGCACCTCTGATGCTGCTGGTGTTCTTGGCCTGTTGTGTTCATCCAGCTCTACACCTTATTATGGCAGTTTATTGAGCTGTCACAATTCACAACTGTGCTTTGGGGAAAGAAACATCATGTCCTTACCCAATTTGGCCTATAAGAAACTCCTTCATTAAAATGAAGAAATATTAACGCTACAACATTTGGGCTACAAAACCGCTCAGTTGTTTGAACCTGACATCAATAGTGCAAGAAAATGGCATGTTACTAGGTTTTTAAAGGTAACCATTAGACTGTATTTAAATAGGACCATAAAAAAATTAAGATCACAAGATAACAGAAGAGTAGAAAGGTCATTAGGTCCACAATAATTCACGCATCTAAAAAGACTCCAAATTCTCTTCATTGTAGCGATAGTCCTGTCCAGGAATTTCATCTCCATTACTCTACCTGGAAGTAATTTCCTTGTATCAATCACTAGATTTGCAAAGAGCTTCGCATTATGCATTCTAAATTTACATTTTAAAAGTATGTATCCATGGCCTCTAGCGTTGTTCTCACATATTAATGCGAAGTACATTCCAGATTTACTTCTCCATTGTCAACGAATCAAAAACTAAGTTGTAAAATCAGAAAATAGAACCAAGAAAATAAAGTAAGGGAGTTTTTTTGACACCTAAAAGAAGCACAAATGCGCATAACATGTCTGCTCAAGCCTGGCTGTAAGGTGTTAATATAAGCCTAGCAAAGAAAATAAGCTTGTACAGATTGCATCTTGTCATTTTTCTGTATTTTTGGTTGTGCAATGAAATAGAAAAAGGACTGTTTAAAAACGAAGAATGCGCAAGGGTTGGTGGCACTTTTTAGAATAAGTGCTGGTAATTTACTTTTAAGTGCTGTTTTCACTGTTTCTTGTTAACCATGGGCGAAGTTTCGTTGCAAATTGAAAGGCACCAGGGAGTATGCACAAAGTAAAAATTGGCAGCAACAAGCAGCAGTTGTCAGTGCAAAGGCCCTCTATCTGCCAATAACTATGTGATTCTCAGATAACTGAGCAATTTATGGATGCGAACTATACTTTGGACCTTCAGAAAAGGAGATGGCGTCCTTGTTTCTGTAGTAAAAGAAATATACATACCTGAAGAAAGCCAGTTTATCTTCCGTCATCAATTGCTGTAGACTGTGGCTTTTAATTAATAAGTTAGAGACTTATTATGAACCAGATGCTCTGTGCATCCTGAAAACAAGTGACAGTGCATGAAGAAAGGAGATCAAGGATCAATAAGCCCTGACAAGCCAAAAGATCATCACAGTGAACCCTGTGGACAAGGATCATTGAGCTGTCTTCTCCTTTTTTCCCTCCACCACATCACTAACGTTTGTGCGTGTCGGTCCATGTCTGTCTACATGTGTTTGTTGAGGAAGTTTTATAAAGGAGGTTAAAACTTTAACTCAGAATTACATGTCGACAGTTTATAGTTGTTTAGCTGTAGCTGGAATCAATTTATTAGCTAAAAAAGGGTCATTCTTGTTAAGTATTGCAACCTGGTTTCTGTTTTGCTAGTTTTAAAAAGACAGCTGAATTAGGGAATTCTGTGTACGTTGATAAAACTTTTGTGACAACTCCAGGAATAGTGGGACTTGATTTCCAGTATGGTACCTCCACGAGGGTGACAAGCTACATGCAAATGATAAGCAAATCTAGTGCTCCTTAGAAATTAAATGTATGCTTGCCGACATCAACGCATGCGATATTCAGCGGGAGCACTGCAGGCAGATTGGAGGTAAGAAATCAGGGCCGAGGCAGGTAACAAAGGAGGAAGAGCAATCATGAGGAGCAAGGGAGAGGGAGGGAGGGGGGAAACTGGGATTATGGGGAAGACCAGAAGGTAGGGTGGGGATTTGGGGGGGGTAGAGACAGAGAGAAAGAGCCAGCGAGCGAGAGGACCTCCTGGCTTCTGGCTCCTGGCTTTCCTTGTCGCATACCATACCACCCATACTCCTTGCTGCTCCCACCCCACTTTGGGCCCAGTTCCCCCTCACATCAGGGGTTTCAACCTCACCCTATCACTGATGCCAAGTTTAAAATCACATTCTTCCCCTGTGCATGTTCAGTAATACATCTGTACATGACATCACATGTAAAGTCTTCGTGATGATATCAGTGTTTGGACATGTGCATTTCCGAATGAGCATGCGTGGGTGGTTCCTCATAGTTGTTGGTGTCAACAAATACTACCTTATTTCAAAAGGGTTCTAGTACAAAATGTTATCATTACTCCTACATACTCCCCCTGATGAGATAGAAATGGTAGCTGGAAAGGAATGCAGTGGTGGGATTGTTGAAGTTTCAAGTTCTTATCTTTGTGATTCAGACATTATTCTATCTTAAAACTTGCAATTTGAGAGATAAAGTTTTCAAGTTATATATCTTTAAATGGCAAATGCTTAAAAGACTTGATGTTCAAATTGAAAAGTATGTTCCAACACATTACTTTTGACACTTCTACTTGTTCGGCAATAGCTCAGATAAGTAAGGTAGAAGCTTCAATAAGATAGAACTCAAAAGGTCTTTTCAAATTTAATTATCCTTAATTACGACAAATTTCTCAAAATTTTAAGCTATTTCAATAAGTAAGGAGGCCTTTCTGAAAATGCAAACATGAGTCAACTATATCTTCTGTCAATTAGTGGGAACGATTTCAAAATTATGTGCTGAATTTCTGAACTAAATATTGACCAAATATGATCACTTTGTCCATTATCTATAGTCTAGAATACAATATTGAAGCCTTTTCTATCTGTGTTAAGTATTCATAATATTGAGCATGGGACATTTAAGGATTCATCACAAACAATACATGCAACTTTAATTGAAATGCAAAGAAAATTATTCAAGGAATATATCTGGTATACTTACGAATGAGGTCTGCCTTACATTCTGCCTCTTGAGACAATATAAATTCTCTGGGAAAAAAAGAAAGATACGTTATTGTCCTTGGATTAAACACCAAGTACTGCAAATATACATGAAAGGGATCTTCAAGATAAGAAATCACTGGGTATTCAGTTCTCAAATGATCCAACTAGACAGATAAAAGTTCTGAAGAGTGATACCAAATTTAAAACACTAACTCGTTTTTCTCTCTGTTCAGACGCTGTCAAACCTGCTGAGTTTTTCCTGCATTGTGTTTGTTCTAGTGTGAAAACCTGTGCGTTTAACCAGAATATTTTTCTTCCAATATAACTTAAACCTGCAAGTTCACAGCAGCAGTAAAACTATTAGATAAATTTGTGTCCATTAGTCTTGTCTATGCTTGAAGTATGATTTCCACATCCATCGTCTACTGAAATGGCTCTCAAAGGCATAACTGATACTTGATTGACTGTGACCCGACTAATCTATTTTTCTTAAACCTATCAAGAAACTTACCTTTGTCCAGTAGTGCTCAATTGTTGTCTAGCTGGATGGGACTACACTTGCTAGGTTCCATTTTTATTGAATTGCTGCCCAAGAATTACTTACGATGGTTTCTCTTCCCACTTTGTTACCTATAGTGCCCCCATAGGATCTTACCCTGGTCCCATCGCCTATTTCTCAAATACACAGTGCCCTTGGTGTCATCATCCAACAATAACATTACTTTCCACATATATGCTGGTGACACAATGTCCTAACCTCACCACCTCTCTCAACTGCTCCACTGCGACTAAACTGTCAAACAGTTTATGCAATCTTCAGTAATGGATTAAAAGAAAACTTCCTCCAATGAACATTGGACAAAGTCATTGGCTTCAGTTTTCACTCCAAACTCTATTTCCCAATCACTGACTCTCACTATTTCCCCAGCAACTGCTGGAGGCTGCACAAGACTGTCTGCAAACATTGCCTCCTGAAAGTGTACCCTCTATGAACTAGAGATCATCCAAAATGTATTGCCTGTGTCCTAACTCCTGTCTACCCATCACTCACTGTGCTCGTTAATCTGTTGGGGCCGGGTAGAGCAATGCTTTGATATTAAATTTCTCTTTCAGATGTTCAAATTCCTCCATCGTCTTGTTACTTTCTCTTACTTCCTACAGCCCCACAATCTTAAGTGATATCTGTGCTCCTCTAAATTTGGCTTCTTGATCATCCCGGATTTTGTTCCTATCATTGGTGACTGTAACTTCAGATATCAACATTCTCAATCTGGAATGAGGAGGGTAAGCCAAAAGACTTCAATAAAATTGGTATTTTTTTCAGCAATATGCAAGTTCTATACTACCAAAAAATTACTGTTGGAGAGGTAGACGGGATAAAAAAAAAAAAACTTGGCTCAAGAAATGGTGTTTTATTTTCATAAGACAGTCAATACAGCAGTAGAAAGGAACATTTTAAGAGAGTTTGAGTGTAGAATTGTATGGTTGAATGATTTGTCATGAATGGTGGGGTGAAGGGAAGTAGGATGCAAAAAAAGGCCAGTGCAGACCAAAAGTTAAAGGAGGAACCCAAGATTGGAGGTGCAGCATGCCCTTGAAGGGACTTGAGAATAGGACTTTAAATTTAGTGTGTTGGGAGACAGGAAGTCAGCCTAGGTCAGCAATGAAAAGATTGATACAACACTTATCAAATCCCCTTCCAAAAGAAACATGGACAAGGTTTTTGATGATAGCAAAGTTAAAATGTTACAACAACACCATGAGGTTTCATGCAGTCTTGCATCATTTATTTTGTCTGAGCTGTAAAGACTACATTTGCTGACTGTTTTGTGAAATTGTGAACAAGCATGGGTGCCTGTCAATAATTATCTGATAGGCTTTGGGTAGTTAAACAGCTTGTGATGTGTACGATGCTGGCAGAAGCCCTCAAGACTGCTGGAAGGGGCAGATAGTAAAATACATAAAAGATTGAAGAAGTTCAGTTTATTTCTCCTCAACAGTTGCTGTAAGCTCTGGCCTTTAATCAGTAACTAAGGGAGTTTGCAGTTAGTGTCCCAATTGCCTGCGCTTCTTGCGAAGTTTAAAAGAACCTGGAGAAGAGAGACTGAATAACAGGAAATTCTGATGAGAAAAAGCATCACTAATATCCACTATAAATCCACTGACTCCTACAGTTACCTGGACTATACATCCTTGCACCTTGCTCCCTCTAAAGACTCTACTCCATTCTCCCAGTTCCTCTGTCTTGGTCGCAAATGTTCTGATGACGCCAACTTCGACAAGGGAACCTCTGAAACATCTACCTTCTTTCTCAACTGAGGATTCCCTAGCACAGCTGTTGACAGGGTCCTCACAAATGGGTCTGATCCATCTCCTGCACTTTGGCCCTCACCCCCTCTTTTCCCTCCAGAAACAGCAACAGGGTTCCCCTTGTCCTTACCTACCATCCTACCAGTATCCACATCCAGATGATCATTAACTACCATTTCCATCACCTCCAGCGAGATGCCACCACCAGATACATATTCTCCCCCCCTCCCTTATCCGCCTTCTGCAGGGACCGTTCCCTCCTAGACACTCTGGTCCACTCTTCCTTCACTCCAACACCCCCGCCAGAGCCGTACGGCACTTTCCCCTGCAACCGCTGAAGGTGCAGCACCTATCCATTTACCTCCTCCCTCCACAGTGTCCAAGGGCCCAAACATAACTTCCAGGTGTAGCAGCACTTGACCTGTGCTCCCCAGAATCTAGTCTACTGCATTCACTGCTCACAATGTTGTCTCTTCTACACTGGGAAAATGAAGCATAGACTGTGTGACCGCTTTGCAGTACATCTACGTTCTGCCCACAAAAACGACCCCGAGCTTCTAGTTGCCTTCCATGTCAACACACCACCCTGTATCCTGCCCAATATCGGTGTCTCAGGCTTGCTGCAATGCTCCAGTGAAGCGCAGCGGAAGCTGTAAGAACAACACTTCATTTTCCGCTTGGGGACCCTGCAGCTCACTGTACTCAATATCTGGTTCAATAACTTTAGGGCTTGAACTCTATGTCCTAGCCCCACCCCTACACACCAGGCCTTGTTATCACAGTCTGCTATTACACACAACCCATTGTTAGCCACTTACAGTCTGCATTAACAGCTATTGACTCTCCTAGTCAGATCATTATCAACTCCTTTGTCCAACTGTTCTTTTTTCTCTCTTTGGGGTCTATCCCCACCTATCGTTTACTCTTTACAACCCCACCCCCCCCACCCTATTTTCTGCATAAAATTTTCCAAGCTACCATCAGTTCTGAGGAAGGGACACCAGACCCAAAACATTAACTCTGATTTCTCTTCACAGATGCTGCCAGACCTGCTGAGCTTTTTCAGCCATTTCTGGTTTAGTCTTTGATTAACAGCATCATCAGTTCTATCAGTTTTTAAGAAAAAACATCATTTCATTAAGTCTTGTGAACTGGGGCAATTCAATCAATCAATCTCCCAGGCTTTTTTCCCTTCCACACATAACATGAAAGTTGGACTGAAGGTATTGAAGTTTTGACCTGTTTAAGGAGAATGATATGTGAGAAAAGATGATAGTGGGAGGACATGGGTAACTAATTTTGTTTTTGAAGTGAGAATTGATAACAACGGTCCAAAAAAAAAAGGGAAATAAGCAGTGGGTAAGCAAAGAGGGGTATTTAAAAGAATTACAGTCTAAGGTTCAGAAGCAAATATTTGAGGACAGGAGCAGGTCAAATGAACTGAATGTGGGTCACATGGATGAAATGAGATCAGAGGATATGACTGGGGAAGATGGCAAATAATCAAAGAATGAAGATATGATCAACGGGTGAGACAACTTTAACTGTGTAGTTATATGGTTCAGTATTAAGACAACACTTAAGAATAGAAAAAGATGATTCAAATGCAAAAAAAGTCAGCCCTGTAACATGGCATTTTACTTGAATAATGTTTGCATAGTTATTAACTTTTTAAAATCAAGTACAAATAATACGTAAAATATTTTAGAGAAGGAATTTATAAAATTTAATGTCTTTTTATAACAAACTTGAAAATCAAGATTAGGTAAATCTAATGAACGGAGAAAAACTACATTTAGGTATCTATCTATCCACAGTATATAACTGAGATGTAAATGTTAAATTGACAATCTCGGCATTGGGGGAGAAAAAAAAAATCACAGAAAGGATACTTACTTTGCATTAACTAGAATGACTAACATGAGAAAGAAAATTAGGAAAGGGTCTGCTTGCTGTAGATACACATCCCACATCAGCTGGGCAACATCTTCTGTACAACAACCAGCAAAGAGGCTTGCTCCCTTCAGAACAATAGATATAAAAGCACAAATGTTTCATAATCTAAAATTACCAAAATTCTAAAATCAGAGCTTTATGGTAATTTATACCCATATTTCACGAATACAGCCTTTAAAAAAATCTTCATAAAAAGAGAATAACAACAAATTAGCTTATGGCATTAAATAAAATGAAATAAATTCAACTATCATTTAAACCAGGATGAGAGTACAATTTTCCTAGATTTTGCTTTGTTAAAAAAAAAAAACGGGTGAGGATAGGGCTTAGAGGCTGCTACTGGGAGCAGGGTGAAATCCTCAACTCAGAGCAACAGTGAGAGCGGGGGCACGGAGACTTTTATGTCTAGGTGTGAGCTGAAGGCTGGGGAGGAAGACTGGAAGAAATGGAGAAAGGTAGAAGGAATAAGAGTTCAACTTCAAAAATAAAATGAACCTCATTTTGTCAAACGGGGTGCTTCATTTTACATCTTACATTACTATTTTTAGGCAGGCAGGTGCTTCCTGTCATTTGGGAATTAATTGTTTCTGCTTTTTTCATCACCAACACATGGGTTTAATCGGATACTCTGGCTGTACCAAACTGTGTAAAAGATTAGTCTATGATAATGGAGTTACGAGAGGCAAAACGGCACTGTTCTATTGTTAAGGGGTATTGGGAAGGGAAGACATTTATACAACCACACTTCATCACTATCTTACTTGATCGCTCAACCATGTCTCTCAATTGTCAGCTCTTGTCTGGCATCCCATTTTGGACGAGCAGCAATTTCCCCCAACCAAACATAGGAACACCGACATTGTCTTCAATTTGCATGGCAACCACCATTTCATAGCCACAGCTTTGAATTCTACACCTGGTAACTGTCTCAAGCTGAACCAGACTGTTTGTCTCAAAAATTATAACTCATTATCCTTGCCATCCCAGGCCTATTTCCACTGCTTAGTGTAGCCCAACTCTATCCCTACCTCAGTGCTCCTCAAGGCTTCTGTTACTTCTAAGTTTGACTATTCAAATGAACTTTTGGTTGGCCCCTGACTGTAAGCATGTAGTCATCAAAAACTTGACAGTCCGTATTCTCAGTTGCACTAACTCCCACTCATCCATCAGTGTTCCACTTAAGATGCAGCCATGCAGCAAATATAAATGTATCAGACAGGAAATAATAGTCTGCAATGAAGCTATGTTCTCTTTGAGATCTATGTCCTAGCACAAGCACATGCACATGTCAGTGTGTTATTCCTAAACAGATTGTGCTCTGCAACATATCATCCACACGTTGCACACAGTAGGTAGGAAATATGCTGCCCATTATCCTGTTTTTGCTGACCAACACTGGTCCCGAGATCAAAAATGATTTTAAAACTCCCATTCTGGTTTCAAATTCCTTCATTCCTCTCCAGCTCTGTAATCTCCTCCAGAGATACAATTTTCTGACTGGAGATATTTCAGCATTCTTGATTTAATTGCTTCACCATTTGCAATCATGCCTTCAGCTGCCAAGCTCCTAAGCTCTGGAATTCCCTCCTTAACCCTCTTCCTGCATCTATTTCTGTTTTAAAGATGCTGCTTAAGACAGGACACTTCTCAAGAAAAACCAAAATAAAGGGAAACAACATTTATACTGTATGAAAGGAGAATGCTACTTGGTTGGCAAGAGTACACTGATAGTAAATGCATTGCCGTGAAGAATACACCATTAGTGATGACTGACAGCTAAACATATCACTCAAGGAAGCTATGGTCATTTGCACAGATGCATTATATCATGGCGATCTAGACCTGCCACCATTGTGAGAAACAGTATTCATTGAGCTTTGAACTCAGCAAATCATGTATGATCAAACAGATGGTTTTGCCATGGGATCCCCAATAGACCCAGCTTACAAATAATCTCTGTGGATCTCCATGGAAAACACGTCTTTGATAAAATAACATCTCACTTCCTACCCCTTGTATATTTCTGATATATAGATATGTTAGCCATAGTTAAATCTGTAGCCACATGCAGGGAAATTCCTAAATGTCTTAATAGATTCTAAGCCTATGCTCAACTTCACCTTTGAAATGGAATTGTCACAGGAGCTCCTATTCCTCGGTATCTTCAGTTGAGGTTTCAGCCAAGGGGTTCTCTACAACTGTCTACCTGTGTTGGCTGATGTGTGTGTTGGGATTCCTGCAGTTCTACATACCGTAAGGTTGGTCTTCTTGGCAATCTTATAAATAGAGCCGGAGCCATTTATTCACTGATGGTAAAATGGGCATATCAAAGTCACCCTGTAGAACAATGGCTTCTTGTCTGTGTGGAGTTTGCACATTCTCCCCATGTCTGCACAGGCTTCCTCCTGCTGCTCTGGTTTCCTCCCACAGTTCAAAGATATACAATTCAGATGGATTGGAGATGCTAAATTGCCCATAGTGTTCAGGGATGTGCAGGCTAGGTGGATTACCTGTGGCAAATGCAGGGTTACAGGGATGGTGGCGGTGGTGGTGGGGGGGGGGGGGGGGGGGGGGGGGGGTCAGGGGGGGGTGGGTGAGATGCTCTCTTCAGAGGGACTCAATGCGCTGAATGGCCTCCTTCCATTCTGTAGGGATTCTATGATACTTTAATTCTTACTCAAATCATTTCTGCCCTGTACATCCCCTAAATTCATGAATGGGTTTATAATCTGTTAATTTTGGGCCTGATTACGTGTCAAGTCTAATCCAGATTAACACATTTTAAACATTTGAGCAATAGGTGAAACTAGTGGTTTTATGCTGCTACTGTGCAGTAGAAACAACTGGTGGTTGCTGCTATCAGGATGCTGCCATCAAGCCAAAAAGATAGTCTGCCTGTCACACAAATGACTAATGTGGTGCATAAATTTCAGTGCCCATGTGATGCCAAGTACGTAGGCTTACAATACAAGATTGGCAGATTGCATCAAACAGCATATCCCATTGGCTGGTTCCATCAAGCAAGGTATTGACCATACTCAAACAGCCTGCACTTGCAAAATTCAAAACAGTGCCCAACATGAGGTACAATTTCATGATTGGTTTATTTAGCAAATCCTGTCCAGACTCTATGAAGAATTACATTGATAATCAAATTAGGATCATGACTGAGGCTCACAGTGTGGCAGTGTGTGTTCTGGAAACTATGTCTATTATTACACAGGGCCATATTCTTTGAGGGCAGAAAGAACATGCATTAACACTGCACCTGTTTTAACTCAAAAAGGTGACAACCATTCTCATTTATCAGGGAAATGCCTTTAGCAATCAGAGTCAATACGTCTGGTTCAAAAAATAAGCAAAACTTTGCAAATAACAATCCGAGTCCCTACAGCGTGGAAGCAGTCCATTCAGCCCACTGAGTCCACACCGACTCTCCAAAGAGCATCCCACCCTGACTCACACCCGGAACCCTGCACTTCCCATGGCTAATCCACCTAAACTACACATCTGGACACTATGGGCAATTTTGCATGGTCAATCCACCCAACATGCTCATTTTTGAACTGTGGGAGGAAACCCACCCAGACATAGGCAGAATGTGCAAACTCCACACAGACAGACAATCACCCAAAGGTGGGATCAAACCCAGGTCCCTGGTGCTGTGAGGCAGCAGTGCTAACCACTGAGCCACTACGCCATCACTAACCGGCACATTCTCATGACAACGCCTCTACTAATAAGACTCAAATTGATAACCAATCGGCACTCTCTTCTCAAACAGTATATATATTTTTTCCCTTTACTTTGGAACTTCTTGAAAATTGCCCTGATGAGTGCAAGACAAAAATGCTTTGAGAAAATGCATTATTTTTCAACAATACTTAAGTTCTGTACTACCAATTGACTAATTACATTATTCTGTGTCATGCTGGAGTGCTTGGATTGTAGCATAAAGAGGGAAATGTTTCTACCCATCAAAATGCGCAGGATGACTTGAATTCTCAAATAATTTACTGATAGCCCGTGATGTTAGAATTTATACCAGGAACCACTAGTTTGAGAAAAGCCAAGGACAGGCTCCAATAAAGAAATTCATTGAAGTGGATACAAAACAAAAAAGCATTAGTTAAAAGCAAAATAATCAAAGCTTTTTTCCCCCGTTTTTGCAAAGGACAGATAGGACCTGCATAATGAATTTAAGAGTAATACTTGTCAGATTCTATCAATAATAAAAGTGCATTTTAAACAAAACATCGTATCAGTTAACTGTAAAATCTGTACATCCAAAGTTCAAAATACCAGTCTAAATTGCCAGCTGGATTGAAAAATAAGCCTACATTTAACTGAACCCAATCTTACCAAAAATACACATTTTGTGAAAAGGTATTACTTTTGTGTGTCATTATTGTATCCACATGTAGAAGATTTTGTCAAACTGTGTCAGACATTCAGAAAGGGGTTTTATGCTACAAAGTGACTGGAATGTTGAAAAATGTATTTTTTTCCAAAAACAGATGTATTTACCCAGTTGATTGCATACGAGTCTGGAGTAATTTTCTTTGTGTCAAGAAAAGAGCAAAGCTCTGGTTCATGATACTGCAGAAGAAGCCTGAAGAGGTGGAATGGTCGACCCTTGGGGACACAATCTCTGTTTAAAAACAAGGATTCCAATGTTCAAAACAAAATTTCAACTTGGCATACAGTTGTTTATGTCAGCAGGCATTTCGCTTAATACTTGTTATCACAATGAAAATAATTAACTAGCACTAAATAATTAAGTGGCATTGCAAGGTAGAGAACAGAGATATGTTGCATATGCTACACAAAACAAAACTGGTTCAGCTGATATTTGTGTTCTTACCTAGGTATATATTTATTCATGATGGCATAAAAACAGTTATACAAATCATTTCGTGGCAATCGGAGTGGAACAAGAGGTTTAAGCAGGTCGGTCCAGCCAAGACTCTGGGTGTATGTGACATTTCGGGATTTGCAGTAGAATGTGATCACAGATTCAACATCTGAAAGTAATTGTGCCTTTTCCTCTTGTGGTATTGAAAGGTAGTCTACAGGTTGGAAGAGCGAAATATTAATGTTCAAGTCAAAATCATCAGACATGGAAGGAAACAAATCTAGAAGAATCTTAAAGAAGAAAAAAACACTTAGCACACATTTTTACAAAGGAGACAATAATTAGTGGGGCTACCAGGATGTGTGAAACCACAGGCAGGAGGATTCCTTTGACTATATTGTCTTCATATAGATTATAGGTGATCAAGCACAGTGTAGTTGTCCAAAATGCCAGTTCGATATCAATACCCATGTATTTTTTCATCAACGTATACCCTTGTTATGGGCCTGACAAAACTCTCACAAAATATATTAAGATAGCCTAAACCCTAACTTTTTCTTATTTTGTAGGCAAGTGCCAGTCGTTGTGTGCTGGATGCAATTCAATTGGTGAAACTACCAGCCTTGAAGCAAAACACACTTTATTCATACACTGTTGTTAAAATACAACAAAAGAAAGAAGAAATTGGAATAACTCAACTCTACCGGAAAACTTAACAGAATAATGGATTATTTAACTGAACAGTAACTGTTCTAATATAGTAATATTCCATAAACACACCGTTGACAAAGGCAAATTCAGTAAAACAGATTGTTTCACATGCAATTCTAGCAGCAGGAAGAGAACCCCTTACTTCTAGCTATAACTCTCTCACCATCCTCTGCCTTTTGCTGTTCGCTTAGAGATTTCACATTCCTGTAGACTAGCTATTAGCATCCACAATTGGAATGATTTGCTCAAATTTTAAAAGTATCAAACCCAACCCCAACTTGCCCACTTCTGTGCTGAATTGTTGCTGAATGAGGGGCAGGAAATGTAAGGTAAGTTGGAAATGTAGACATTTTAAAGCAGCTGGCAGCCTCTGACCTGAAGATTTCCCACGGACTTCAAAATTCCACTGTTGGGGAAGCGAACAAATTCCAAGCCCACACTCATTGGCAGCAGTGATCTCCTTGGCAGTCCCATCAAGGGCACAACAGCATCAACAGCATGAATTTGGCAACACCGTGACAGGCAGGAAATCTCCTATCACCAATTGGTAAGACCAAATATAAAGAAAATGAAAAACTCAGAGGGTCGAGAATCAGAAGGGAGACCTCTCTGGGTACACTGTGGGACTTGCAATTACTGCTTTCCCTTCCCTCTGTAAGCCATTGAGTGGAGTTAAAACTAGCCTGCATGACTGAAAGCGGAAGCACATTGTGGCCGGAATAACAGAGAAAAAACAGCTTCAATAGCCAGCTTCAAGAGTCCAGCAGCTGCTACTGAAAATCTAAAACTAAAAACCCTGGTTCTATGGGTGCTTGCCCCACCCATTCAGACTGCTTCTATTGTCCCTAGTTTTAAAAGGAGAACCCAGGGCCTCAAAAGCGGTTTACTTTTTGGGGTTTCAGTGGACAGCTCTACATCGGTCTTAAAACCTCTCCTCCAAAAAAGGACAAAATGTATCTCTTGAAGCCATAGTATCATCACACCTCTATGTAAATTAAAGCACTAGAATTTAATAACATTTATATCACCTGATTACCTTTTCCGCAGTAACTGTGTGAGAGATTGCCATGCCAGAATGGCACAGAATAACACCAGATACCACATACAGAACTGACCGCATGGCAAAACATTACCTCACAAGATGCAAGGCTCCCACCAATGTGAACTAAGACTGAGAAATCAGGGCATGAAAGACTGTACCAGAAAATGATGAATGCAGAATAGATTTCAAAAACAGCAGACAAGTATTTGTAAAAGAAAAAAATAAAAAGATGGGAGGAAGGAGTGAATGGGACTAAGTGGACAGGATTTTTTGTTTTTCCAGAGAACCTGTACTTAAAATTACCATATGGCTTTCTCATGAGCTGCAAAATTCCATTTCTCCCTTAACTTTCAGAATTTTAAAGCCAAAGCTTACACAGCCAACCACATTTCTTAATTTATCCAGTTCTTTCTTTTACTCTTTCCATTTTGATGATGTTCTGCACTGATGGTCTTGGAAATATAAAGGCTCCTCTCTATTGTTCATGACCAATGGTAATTATATACTTCTTTTAATGTATTTTTGATTGTGAACTGAAATGGGAAGAGAACTGTTTTAAAAACTGAAGATGATTGAAGGATCGTTGCACCTTTTACAAGTGAGTAATCCGATATTCATTGGAGGTACAATTTACACAACTGCTTGTACAAGCTGAGTGTGCAGATGAGCTGGAGTCAAGGACATGTACAATGGAGCTTTGGCTGACAACAAATAGTTGATTGGTCTATGAATTAGTGACCAGTTATTGATGACAAGAGCTTCTGCTTTTTGTGCCAGTATGTAGATCATCCTTCTAGACTAGGGCAGTGCTAGACCTATACCTAGGGAATGACGCTGGTCAAGTGGTTAAACTATCAGTGGGCATTTTGGAAAGAGTGACCATAACTCTATGCTTCAAAGTCATTATGGGAGGCAATAAGTATAGTGCCTAAGTTAAGTGTCAAAATTGGGGAAGGCCAATTACAATATCATTAGACAGGGGAGCAAGTCCTGGGAACTCTGGGTGTCAAGGGTTATTGAAAAAGAAGGAAGCTTATGTTAGATACAGCGCATTAAAAGCAGGGAGGCCATTCAGTAGAGTGTGTGGGCTGGAAAGTACTTATAAAAGCAATTAGGAGGGCAAAGGCAGGCCATGAAATATCTTTAGCAGATAGGATTAGGGAAAACCTGAAAACATTTCATTAGTACATTAAGAGCAAGACCAGAGAAAGAGTGTGGCCCATTAGAGAGGAAGAAGCTCAGTCTTGAAGGCAGCAACGGTGATGGCAGCAGTTGGAGGCCCACAGTGGGGGATTTGGTGGTTAGCCAAGAGGTAGTTGGTGTGCCCAGGCAGAACTCTGGCGATTGGCAGCATCATGGAAGTGGCTGCGGACCCGGAGTGGCTTGTGGTGCTGCGGTTGACGAGCTGACATGGCTGTCGGTGGCGACATGGCAGCACAGAAGGGTGGGAATCGAGAGTTCGAGCCTAGCATGGGGAAAGTCCAGTGTAGAGTAACTTCAGGCCCATAGCTAAAGCAGGACTGTAATTTGGAACTTTTAACTTTACTTCTTATTTACTACATTACATTGAGATAACTGTAATGTTGAACTTATTTCTTTATTTTTCAACTTTTTACCTAAGAATTTGTTCGTAGGTTTTTGTACCTAAGATGGCGCCCATTTGGCAATATTGTAGACTTTTCACTGTACTCTTGTATCCCTGTACTTGAGTACACATGACAATAAAACCTACTTCAATTCAATTCCAATGGGTAATCTACACAGAGCCAGTGGACGTGGGTGAAGTATTAAATGAACATTTGTTACCTATATTAATGTAAAAGAAAGATATTACAGCTGGAGGTTTCGGTTGGGATGGTGAGATTTCAGAGATTGAATTAGTATTGGATTAATGTTAAGATTAATAAGGAGGTATTAACAGGCATAAAAGGTGTATTAATCTCCCAGGTCTGATTAGATGCATCCTAGGCTGCTATGGAGACAAGGGAGGAAATTTCTGGGGGTCTGGAAGGGATATTTAATACTTTGCCAGCCACAGACGAAGTGCCAGATGACTGTGGGATAGCTAAAGTGGTTCTTTTGTTCAAGAAGGGCGGCAGGGATAGGCTAGGCAATTACAGACCAATCTGTTTGATGTCAGTGATAGGGAAATTATTGAAAAAAATTCTGATGGACAGGAGAAATCAACACTTGGAAAGGCAGGGATTGATCAGGGGCAGTCAACACAGATTTGTTGAAAAGAAATCCTGTCTGACTAATTCAACAGTTTTTGCCACGGTGACTAAATATATTGTTGGCATAGTGCAGTTGATGTGGTTTACATTGATTTCAGTAATGTTTTTGACAAGGAAGGCTGGTCCAAAAGATGAGAGCCCAGGGGATCCAAGGCAAGTTGACAAACTGGATCCAAAATTGGCTTGCAAGTAGGAAGCAAAGAGTGATGGTGGATTTTTGAGATTGGAAGCCTCTGACCAGTACTGTACCACAGGGATCAGTGCTGGGACCCATCTGTTTGACTTGTACATTAACTTGGATGTTGATGTAGAAGGTATAATTAGGACTTCTGCACACATGAAAATTGCTGGTATTGTTGATAGTGAGGAGGATGACAGATGGAATGTAATCCTGACAAGTGTGCGCTGATACAATTTTGGGAGGTCTAATAAGGGAAGGATGTACACAAGAAATTTATGGGTCCCTAGGGATACTGAGGAATAAAATGGACCTTGGTGTACAAGTCCATTGTTCCTTGAAGGTGTCACCACACATAGACAGGGTGATGAAGATGGCATGCAGGATATAGCAGCAAGGAAGTCTTGTTACAGCTTTATAAAACATTGGTTAGGCCACAGATGGAACACTGTATACATTTCTGGTTGCCGCAATATCAGAAGGATATGATTACACTAAAGAAGGTGGAGGAGATTCACCAGGATGTTGCCAGGGATAGAAAGTCTCAGTTATGAGGACAGACTAGATAGACTGGGTTTTCCCTAGAGTAGAGGTGGCACGGTGGCTCAGTGGTTAGCACTGCTGCCTCACAGCGTCAGGGACCTGGGTTCAATTCCACCTTGGGCGACTGTCTGTGTGGAGTTTGTACATTCTCCCCGTGTCTGCGTGGGTTTCCTCCGGGTGCTCCAGTTTCCTCCCACAGTCCAATATGTGCAGGTTAGGTCGATTGGCTATGCTAAATTGCCCGTAGTGTTCAGGGATGTGTAGATTGGGGGGGGGATGGGTCTGGGTGGGATGCTCCAATGGTCAGCGTGGACTTGTTGGGCCGAAGGGCCTGTTTCCACACTGTAGGGATTCTATGATTCTAGAGATGGCTGAGAGGGCAATCTGATTGAGACATACAAAATTATGAGAGGCGAAGACAGGGTAGATAGCGAAAATCATTTCCCCATGTCAAATGTGCCGAAGACCAAAGGGTATAAGTTTAAGATGATGAGCAAGTGATTTAGAGAGGATTGGAGGAAAAAAAAATTTCACCCAGAAGTTGGTAGAAATATACAACGTGCTGCCTGAGAGGGTGATGCAGACAGGTTCCCTCACAACATTTAAGAAATATCTGGACATAGTTGGCTACGACCAAGTGCAAGTAAATAGGATTAGCATACTATGGTGTTTGTTGATTAACACAGACATGGTGGGCCGAACAGCCTGTTTCTATGCTGTATAACTGTATGACCAGTACTTGCAAATTCCTTCCAAGACACACCATCCTGACTTCAAACTATCTCAGGGTTCCTTCACTGTCGCTGGATGAAAATCCTGTAAGTCCCTCCCTAACAGCAGTGTGGAAGCCCTTACAATATAAGGACTGGATTGATTCATGAAGGCAGCTAACCACCATCTTCCACAGGACAATTAAGTATGGCTAATTAATAGAGGCTAACTAGTGATGCCCACATCCCATGAATAAAATTTTTAAAAATCTTGAGACACAAACTCCCTGCTTTACAAAAGTTACTTAATTCACTCACCTATGAGTTTTTGGCAGTCATCCTGTATTAATGCCTGTTCAGGTAGATCTAGAGATCCATCCCATGATCCTAAGCTGCCCACTTTCCCTGCTACATTTAGTGAAATCTGAAATGGAGAATGGGTTAAAATGTAAAAAAAATCAAAGGAAAGAAATTCAATGGATACAACATGTTTCATATTCAAATGCTTTTGAAAGACAGTTACTCTCAATGTAAGCAAAATTGGTAGATAATTCACATATGCAAAAGACACATAATGAATGAGATAAATGACCTGTAGTCTGATATTTGTAATATGGTTAAGACACAAATATCAGCCAAAATGTGGGGGAAATTTCCCTGGCTCTTCTCTGAACAATCCCATCGGATCTTTCACATCTATCTGAGAAAACTAAGGAGGTCAAGAACAGGGCAATCCCTCAGTATTGCACTGGGATGTGAAATAAAATCCCTTTTCTGTATAAAAGTGTGTTGTAAAATCTAGTGCCTGTGAAAATCATAACCATTAAGGCACAAGATATTTTGTCGCTGGTTACATTTGATACTCCCTAGAAACTGTTACAAATGCTTCAATAAATCACTCAAATTGATTCAAAGATCAGCCGTTTTTTGTTCCAGTTATTGAGCAAGGTGAAGAGGCTCTATGAAGCTAACGTGATGCTGTTAGCAGATGCACTGCAGTTGGACTTCAGCAAAGTTGCTGTCCGTTAGTTCCACACTTCTCGGATTTGAGAGGTCCTGGGGCTCATCAAGTCAGTTAGAGCGTTAAATGACAGTCAGAGAAAATAGTATGCAGGTGAATGGGATGGGGAAAGGGGGAGAGAGAGTTGAAGCTGAAGTCAGTTGAAAAATCCAGGACCACTTCAGTGAAGTTTGTAATCTGCCAAGAAGCTGAAAATGTGCAGGTAAACAGATGCTCATGAATTCTGCAAAGCTTGTGAGAGGAGATTCAATGGTCAAAACATGAGCAGTCTGAGTTGGAGGTGTTTAGCAATGCTCATAGGTTAAATCTTTGAAAATGAAGACTTGGTATCTCTTGTGAAAGAGGCAAAGCTTCATGAAACAAACAGAATGCTGGTGAATTCAGCAGGTCTTGCAGCACCTGTGAATAGAGAAATAGAGTTAAGTGCCCAGCCTGACTCTTCTTCAAAGCTGTTGTGGACAGGATCTACTGAACTTGAAATGTTGACCCTGTTTCTCTCTCCACAGATGCCGCTGGACCCAATGAGATTCTCCAGCATTCTCTGTGTCTGTCTCAAATTTCCAGCATCTTGCTGTTATTAAATCTTTAATGAGGTTTGGCTAAAGTGGATCTGACTTGACTGCATCGGTTACTTAATGTGCTCTGTAGGGTTTAATTCTAAATGTTTGAGAATAAATTGTACATTACTTTGTTTTTGGAACTTTGCACAATAAAGTTTATGCCCTTTTTTCAAAACTATGAAATCTTGCAGCGTTATTCTTCAAGTTTGTGGAATCTTAAACTTCATTCAATTAAACAAACAAAAAAGTTGCTGGTTTCTAACCAGACGGAAACATAAATTTAGCAGTCTAGCTAATACTAGCTTTGATTGTTCATTCAAGACTGAACGTTAGGACTTGACTCCATGACCTTTAAGTCATAGCTGAGTGCTTTACGACTAAGGCAAGGCATGCCTTAAGGATCAGACTACCCTGCATAAGAATACTTCCCATCAAACAGCTGTTATCAAGTTAACCCTTTCTCAAAGAAATGACATTTCAGGAGTTGTAATAGAAATTGGAGGAAACAGAGTCTAAAATACTGTATAATTAAGCAAGCTGTGCATTTAGGTTTATTTTGCAGAAACATCTTTTAAAAATATACTTTTCCCTCCTAAAGTTATAAGCTTCTATTGGTGTACAGTTTCATGGCATAGGAACAGGAGAAATCCAGTTAGTCCCTCAAGCCTGCTCTACAGATCATGAATGGTCTGCATCCTAAATCCAAACACTCACCTTAACTCCGTATCACTCAATATTTTTGGCATGCAAAATTTTATTAAACTGAGATTTACATGTATTAATTGAACTAGCATCTACTGCTTTGTGTCACCTTCTACCATTCATGAAGGGGATGTATTTGTTACCTTCTCTAAATGGACCAGTTCGGATTTTAAGGTTATGTCCCTCTGTCCTGGACAACCCCATCTGCAGAAAACAGAACACTTGCCTGTCCTACATATTCCTTTCAAAATCCAAAAAGTTGCTGTCAAATCAACTTTTAAATTTTTATATTCCAACTAATACAATCCAAGTAATGTAACATCTTCTCATATTACAACCCTTGGTAATACTCTGATAAATGGGTACCACACCCCTTTCAAAGTCAGGAATTTGTAACATGCATGCTCATGATAATCAAGATAGATCATAGAATCCCTACAGTGTGGAAACAGGCCTTTCAGCCCAACAAGTCCACACTGACTTTCAGAGCATCCCACCCAGACCCATTCCCCTATAACCCATCTAATCTACACATCCCTGAACACTATGGGCAATTTAGCATGGCCAATCCGCCTAGCCTACACATCTCTGGACTGTGGGAGCACCCGGAGGAAACCCACGCAGACATGGGGAGAATGTGCAACCTCCACACAGTCACCCGAGGGTGGAATTGAACCCGGGTTCTGACGCCGTGAGGCAGCAGTGCTAACCACTGAGCCACCATGCTGCCACTTGTAAAGGAACAAGAAACAAAGTATCAAACAACGTGCATTAATAGCCCAAAAAAGTTACCACCTTCAGGACAGAAGGAATCATTTCATAATGGCCTCTGGACAGTCATAGATCAGGCCATACCCTGAAAGACGTGTTATAGGACCCCCTCGAAAGTCCAAGTGTGGTAATAACCCAGGAAATGTCCATCAATTACTGGAACGTGGAATGCTCTTGAAAAATTTCCCAACTGAGTTAGAGTTACTAGGTTGTTTTAACTGATCCCTGGACGGGTATTGTCATTTATGTGGTTAAAGTCCCTTAAGCAGGAAGGCTAAACTCAAGACATCTCTCTCCATTCTTTCGCAAGTGACTTTCAATTAAGGGCTCTTGTGGTGCAGTGGTAGAGTGTCTTCCTCTGGGTCAGAAAGTTTCTGTTCAAATCCTACCTGCTTTCAAGCTGTGCCTTGATATGTCCAAATAGTTTGATTAAAAATATTTTGAAAGGTCAGCATTCAAGTCCACCTGCCTCAAATGTCATAACATATCTGAACAGATTGATTAAAACAGATACATCCCCTATCCCATGGACATCTAACCATCCCATCCATATTCCTACAACTGACACCTGACCCACCTCCAGCTGGGACATGATTCCCTCAAACACATACCACTCTGCTGTCTCCCCCCACGTAACATATTTAACCTCAGTTAGTGTCAAAATGGATTTGGGAACATTTTATTTGCTAAAATATGCCCGCTGTTACAATAAAAAGGGAATGTTTTGGCTTTGAACACTGATCCTGCTTTGAGTAAGGACTTCACAAATCATGACTCCGATCTTTGTCAACTTGAAGTCTTGCTTGCAGAGAACCTTGTATTTTAGATGTGTGCGACCTGATGCTCTTGCTCTGATCTCAAGCTTGCTATAGAGCACTTTCTGCAGGATTCAGCCATCATCCATTCAGCTCACCGGACACAGGCAGCAAAGTCTGAAGAGTACAAATGCACCAAGGATCCATGCACACCAGTGCACTTCCACATTTGGCATTGCGTCTTGTTAGGAGAGGCCCTATATTCTTCTGAGGTAGTGGAGTTGCAATGACCATGTAAATCTTACGTAACCAGCAGAAATCTCTCATAGAACTGGCGTCAGTGAGAAACATTTTTCCAAACTTTTGAAAGTGCGTGGCTACCATGTCCATGTGTTTTTTCTTTTCTTACAAAAGCCAGAAAATGATCAGAAGTCTGGTTGACAATACAAGACAGTCACCCTGTGCTCATATGTTTTAGACTGAGTCATTGGAGAAAAATTTTTCAGGTATATTTTAGTCTTTATCTTTCTCTCTAACCCAGGAGCACTGAGGCCAGATGAAGCACATGCATTTCTTTCCTTGTTCAGATTAGTTGAACCTACAAAGAACAACAAATATGATACCTTCTGGCTTGAGAGACTTTGGACCAAAGCATTTGGTGAATTTCCTAACCAGCTAATAAAGGAACACATGCAAAATGGCATTTCTAATGTTTGAAAACTTAAACATGCAGTTAGTGGCAAGTCAGTCAAATTATTAAAAAGTTAATTATTGTGCACCTCTGGTTTGCCCGAGTTAAATAATTAAACCAATATCTGTGGTCTCACTGCAGTGGAAATAGTAATAGTTCAAAGTGGCAAATATTATCGGTACCATTCATAATTTACCTTCCAAACTTTGCCCCTTTGGTCTGTTGGTATGCATCGTCCTTGAATTATGTTTCTTAGTGTTTCCAGGTCATAGCCGCCTTCATCCAAAGCTTCAGCTAGGTCTTTGTCCCTAAAATAAAATTAAAAATTTACTAGTTACTACATGGATTGTGGGATTATATTTACCTATAAAACTTACAAAACACATTACTAGCAAAGTTCACTTTGGTCAACTAAGAAGCAATAAATCTGGCAGTGGGTTAGCCTAACTTCTGTTTGGAACATACCATCACTGACTGACCTCTAAATACTGGAACAGACTTCTGTTTAATATCAGTACTTGACTTGTTGGGATAAAGTTGACTGTGACAAAAAGTACAGTCACATTCATTCTATAGAAAAACAAAAAGGTTGAAGCATACAGTAATTTTAACAGAAACAAAAATGCTGGAGGCATAAGCTGTAGCTTTTGTACAACAAATGCTCTCAACATAGAAATTGCCTGACCTTTCAAGTGCTTTTGAGCTTTTTATCCCCCCACTTCTATTTCAAACTTTTCAGCATCCACACTATTTTGCTTTTGCTACAATGGGAATACAAAGTAGTAAGTCAGTATCTCTAAGCAGAAGAGAACACTTCTTATACTTAAATGTATACACTTTATCCAAATTACTGTCATACAAGAAATGACAAATATATTTCGAAGAAGTAGATTTTTGAAAAAATACGGCAAACATCTACTGCAATAAGCTACAAAACGTTAAACAGAAAACCTGCAGTTTTCAGTGTCAGCACTACAATTTTATGCAAAAAATTTCTGCACACCAATTTTCTTGAGCATTCTGCAAAACACACTGTGTATATCACAATGATGCTTTTGTTTCTGCAGCAAACAACACAGGCAGCATTGATGAAGTACACAATGTTGACTCTGTTATGATGATCATCTGATCTTTCTTTCTTCAGGTTTATGTTATACTTTCAAACTCAGTCAAGGATATTGTCAGAAGACATTCAAATATGTGACAAGAACTAAACCAGCTGCATCATACCTTATTACAGGAGAGAAGAAAAGTATATCCAAAAACTTAAGTAATCATTGTGAAGGCACGTGAAGTTAATACAGAATTTCCAGGAAGTATTTAAAAGAATCTTAAAAAGTTGCCAATACATAATTTTGAAAGTTGCATAGGCAGACAATTCACCTATCATGTTTATAAATCCTCTTATTGGCTCAATGTTGTATTTTTAAGCTTAGAAAGCATTTAGGGGAGTGAGGGATCAAAACCACAAGCTCACCATGTAGTAAGTCACACTTGACACATTTAATAGTATTTTGCAAAGAAGTGGTAGCTGAATTGATAACAATACATGTGTCTGCAAGGATTTTTACAAGGCGTTCAGCAAGATTTGGAAAACAAAATGGCATATGACATAATAGCAAAGGTAGCATCATGGATTCAACGTTGGTTAAGGATCCGGAAACAAAAGATTAAAGTTATTGAGTATTGCTTTGATTGAAGGCAGCTTGGGTGTGACATACATATTCAAGCAATAAGTTCTGCGCATACTTCTATTTCCTAGTACATCTAGCTGAAATAATATCACCTTTTAATACGTTTGCAGCAGGGTTTGGCAAACAGTAATGACTGTAAAATTCTTCAGAACATAGCTAGGTTAGCAGGATAGGCCAACATGGACATGACTAATACTATTTTGAGGAAAGAACTTGGAAACTGTAATAAATGTTATGATGAAAACAGAGAAATGGAATATATTTTTAAACAAAAGACACTGAAGGACCTGGATCAAGACAGAAAATTAGGCATTCAAGTCTTTACTTAATATCTTGAATGACAGCCAGGATTAACAGGCTACATTTCTAAAGCTTCAGAGGGCCATGATGAAAACTAAATTTAAAACACATGCAAAGAAAAATACAGAAGCAAACTATTGATGCTGGAAATCTGGGAATAAAAAAATGGAACCATTCAGCAGGTCAGACAGATCTGTTGAGAAACAGTGAAGTTTCAGTTCATCTCGACCTAAAAAGGTTTATTCTGTCTCACTCCACAGGCGCTACTTGGCCTACAGGGATATAGAATGATAATAAAGGCCAATGGTAAAATGGGTTGTGTCAATATGAGAAGGATCCTTGCTCTGTTTTTGTTTTATAGGGTCGAGAGAGCTTTACCTTTATTTCAAAAGAGTACAGGTAGCTCTACTCTGTATCTAACTTTCTGCTGCCCTGTCCTGGGATTGTTTGATATTGCTATGAGCAAAAGGGGGATGATTTGCTTGAGCTATTAATTTGACAGGTTCACTTTTAAGAGAGAGAGAGAGAGAATAAAAATGTTTTCTCCCCCCTACCAAGGGTAAGTGATGCCCTAGTGGTATTGTCATCTGACTATTAATCAAGAAACTCAAGTAAATGTTCTGGGAACCCAGGTTCAAATACCGCCACAGTGGTATTCAAAACCTACCCTGGAATTAAGAGTCTAATGAAGACTGTCACTGTCGATTGACAGGAAAAACCCATCTGGTTTACTTATGTCTTTGAGGGAATAAGCCATTCTTAGCTGGTCAGGCTTACATGTGACTCCAGAGCCACAACAATGTGGTTAACTTTCAACTGCATTCTGAAGTGGCCAAACAAACCACTCAGTTGTAAGAATTGCCGCAACGTCTCAATAAAGATTACGGTATCAATCAAGGTGCTGGACAAAAATGGCAAGTACAGCCTTGCCCATCCCGTAACATTCTCCTTACGAACACCTGGAGGATAGTGCCAAAATTGGAAGAACTCTCTCAGAGATTGGTCAAGCAACAAAAGAGAAAACTTGACCTTATCCTCAATGTGCTCTCTGCAGATGAACGTTCACCGTTGATGACATCATTGTTTAAGAGCGAACACGGCACAGTCCTTGTGGAGACGAAGACATTAACAACAGCTTACATTGTGTTGTGTGGCACTGTCACCATGCTAAATGGGACAGCCTTTGATCAGATCTAGCAATTCAAGACTGGGCAAAAATGAGGTGTTATGGCACATCAGCAACAGAATTGTATGTCACCACAATCTGCAACTTCATGGTCTAGCAGATCTTTCATTCTACCACTACCATCAGGCTAGGGGATTAACCCTGGTTCAGTGAAGAGTGCAGGAAGGCATGCCAAGAGCAGCACCAGGCATACCTAATCATGAGGTCTCAACCTGGTGAAGCTACCAAACCTGACTAGCTGGCTGTCAAACAGTATAAATAGTAAGTGACAGAGATAAGAGATCCCTCACCTTATGGATCAGATCTAAGCTCTGCAGTCATAGTGATGGAAACAGACCCTTTGGTCCCACTCATGCATGATATCCTAAATTAATTTAGTCCCATTTGCCAGTATTTGGCCCACATCCCACTAAATCTTTCCTAGTCATATACCCATCCAGATGCCTTTTAAATATTGTAATTGTACCAACCTGCACCATTTTCTCTGGCAGCTCCTTCTATACATGCACCACCATCTGTGTGAAAAAGTTGCCCCTTGGCTCCCTTTTAAATCTTTCCCCTCTAGTTTTGGACACCCCTACCCTGGGAAAAAGACCTTGAATATTCACCCTATCCATGCCCCTCATGATTTTATAAACCTCTATAAAGGTCACCCCTCAGCCTCCGAAGCTCAATGGAAAAATGTCCTAGACTATTCAGCCTCTCCCTATTGTTCAAACCCTCCAACCCTGGCAACATCCTTGTAAATCTTTTTTGAATGCTTTCAAGTTTAATAACATCTTTCCTATAGGAGGGTCACCAGAATTGAACACAGTATTCAAAAGTGGCCTAACCAATGTCCTGTACAGCTGCAACATGACCTCCCAACTCCTATACTCAGTGCATTGACCAATAAAGGCATCCTGCCACCCATCCACTCAGGAATGGTGGTGAGCAATTAAACAACACACTGGAGGAGGTGGTTCCACAAATGACCCTATCCTCGATGGTGGAAGAGCCCTGCACATCAATGCTAAAGACAAGGCTGAACTGCTCCCAACAATCTTCAGCCTGAAGTGCCGAGGGGATGATCCATCTCAGTTCCTCTGAGATCTCCAGAATCACAAATGTCAAATGTTCTGAGGAAGGGTCACCGGACCCAAAACGTTAACTCTATTTTCTCCTTTACAGATGCTGCTAGACTTGCTGAGCTTCTCCAGCAACTTTGTTTTTGTTCCTGATTTACAACATCCGCAGTTCTTTCGGTTTTTAATCACAAATATCAGTGTTCAGCTAATTCGATTCACTCCCCATGATGTCCAGAAATGGTTGAGTCACTGGATATTGCAAAGGCTATGGGCCCTTCAACATTCCGGTAACAGCAGTGAAGATATGCTCCAGAATTTGCCGCACTCCTAACCAAGCTACTCCAGTACAGATACAACACTGACGTCTAACTGATAAAGTGGGAAATTGCCCAGGTATACCGTGTAGACAAAAAGCACTCAGCATGATCCATACAACACTAGCTACAAATGGAAAAGTAAACATGTACAATATGCGAGATGAGAGTGACAGCCCTTGACATCACAGCAACATTTGACCAAATGTGACACAAGGGGTCCTAGCAAAACTGGAATCAATGGGAGGTAGGGAAAACTCTGACCACTGAAGTCATACCTGATACATAGGAAAATGGTGTTTGTTGGAGGTCACTCATTTCAACTCCAGATATCTCTGTAGGAGTTGCTCAGGTTGGTGTCCTCTGCCTCACCATCTTCAGCTGCTTCAATGACCTTCCCTCCATCCTAAGGTCAGAAGTGTCAATGTTCACAGTTGAATACACAACATTCAGTATTATTCACGATTCCTCAGATACTGAAGCAGTCCATGTCGAAATGCAACATGTCCTGGGCAATCTCTAGGCTTGGGCTGAAAAGTGGCAAGTAACGTTGCTGGCACACAAACATCAGGCATTGACCATCTCCAAAAAGAAACAATCCAACTGTCATCACTGAATCTCCCACTATTAACATTCTGGGAGTTGCCAATGACCAGAAACTCAACTGAATTAGCCATATGAATATTGAGACTCCTGCAGCAGGTCAGAAACTAGGATTAGCGCAGTAAGTTACTCCTCTTCTGACTC